AAGTTCGAAATTGATTTTGGCTTCACATATCTTGGCTAGAAGATCTATTAAATTTCGTCTTTTATCCAACAATTTGGATGCTTTAATATCCCTGTTCAATTTACAATATCAATGAACTGTAGGAAGCCACCGTAACTGATATCTGGTAAACATTTTTTTACAGCTCATGTTGCACGAAAATGTGGAAAAAAAACATAATGACTATCGTAAGCGTGGTCTTGTTTCTATTTGATCTCGGCACAGATACCTTCGTGGCCGTAAAGCATTTCCAGAATGGTGACATGGGGTGGTTTTTTTTATCAGTAATTTTCATTGTCGCCCCTTTCGCAATTGGCTTGGTCGTGATCTTTTTTCGGCTGCTATGTCGATCCGATGATTTAAAAGGATCAATCATTTTAGCGCGGTATATTGAGGCAATGTACGAATCCGCTCCACAGTGGTGCCTTCAGTTTTACATAATGTTAGATCAATGGGAATTTCCATGGTACACCATAACATCCATCGTGGTTTCCATTCTTAGTCTAACATGGACAACTACTGCTTTTGAAATACGATCGGATGAAGAGGAAGAAGAAAGGGGCAAACTCTTTCGAGTGGCAATCTTCTTTCACGAACTGTTTGGTTTTATTGCTCGACTCACGGTAATTGTTCTCTTTGCATACAGGTTTAGGTGGGTTATATTCCTTGCTTTTCTAATTCATATCACAGTCCTTTTGATTGGCCTACTTTTCATGGAGAGTTGCAGCTTCGGTATGAACGTTTTATGTGATATTATTTTCAAATTTCCATTAATTTCTTGTGTATTCCTCATCCTCGCGTATCTTTTTTTCCCGTTTATCCTCCATCCGTCCAAGACATTTTTCGAGCTTTTCAGAGATGATGAAAAGAGGCTAAATAGATACTATGCATGGACATACTCTTTAATTGTTGCAGTAAATATTACCATGCTAACCCTGATTGCTGTTGCCCCGTACCCGTTACATGAAGCCTTCGCCTTCGGTCATATGGATGTGGTGACGCCGCTCGCGTTCGCAACCGTCATAGGAGGAACGGTTTTAAATTTATGTTTACTTTTGTGCTTACGTATAAAATATTTCTAAATCTCTCAGGCTACCCAAAAGGTTGCATATTAAAATATGTTATTACTCACTAAATATAATTAGATATGTATAAAAATGCTAAAGGACAAGCATTTGTAAAAAAAATACACAACTTGACCTAAACGTAAAGTTTCAAAGGTCAGGAAGACAGAAACAATAGAACAAAAAAGGCCTGGAGAGTTCAAATATTTTCAATGTACATACCATGTAGAAGAACAGCAAGCTAATCTTCAAATCATACAGTTTAGATTACAGTAATACTAAATTTTGACAATGTGTTTTTCAGGCAGGTTTTTTTTATTAAACTTGCCTATATAATTCGAAAAAATATGTTAAATATATAGCTTGCAGCAGTGGATAAGTGGTCTTGTTTTGTGGTATCACCCAAAGTTTATATTTCTCATAATGCTTGCAACTGGAAACTGGGCTAATTGTCTAATACTTCTCCAGCGTTATTTAGGCCGGATCTGTTTTGACTCAGAACCCGAGTGCAAAAATAAACATGTGATGCTAAGGCCTGATTTCCACTTCGAACGTATTGTAAGGAAACTGTAGCGTATTCCTTTGTTTCGAAGTCATTAATCCTTCTATCCAAGTGCCCAGGAAAATGATATACGCTGCGTGTCCCTATGATACGGTTAAAGCGGAAAACAGCCTTAAAGACGATTTTCCATTTCGGCCGCGTTGTTTTTTAGTTCCGTCACGGTCGCATGAGCAGGTGTCTTCGCTCGCGCGGGCGAAGGGAACTTAATGGAAATCGCCTCAGGCCCACACAGAGAGGACGCGAATTTTCAATATTTTAGTTTTTTTTCAAAATAAAATAAATTTTAGCCTATCATAATATTCTTGTATATATTACACAACAATAATACACTTTGACTGCTCTGGCGTCCATAGATTCAAAATTTTGCTTCAAGAATTTAATATATATGCTTCTGAAAACTCAAAATTGGCGTCTCGTTGCCGCTTCCGTCCAATCACCCCAATCACTCCGCTGCAGACGCCAGACAGTTCATGAAATTGTATCTGATAAAAATATGACATTTATAAATATACGTCTAAGGGATGGTAACCAAAGAAAGTTTCACTCGCAACTTTTTTGAGACTGATAAACCTATGCTTGTACCCCTCGTATATTTTGGGCTGTAATCACCGAGTCCGAGGCCACGTGCAATGTTCGCCACGCAAACAGCTCACTCATGAGCTCAGAGGTCATAGGAGTGAAACGACATCGCACAACCGCACCGAACGTTGGTTCGATTCCTGCCATATTATGGTATTATTTATTCACAAATCTCTTTTCTAAAGTCCTTGTCTAAGCATATTCCCCGGTTTACGCCAGTTAAATTTGCTATCATGTCCATGTAATATACTGCGATATATGTTTTACACCGAGTTCTCAAATCTGGTGTTTTTTATCTCTTGAATATAGCAATGATTCAACGTGAATTCATCGGTTCTGCTCATTAAATTGGGGGGACTCCATGATTAAGAATTTGCCCAAAATTTGCATCTTTTGGATTTCTTTGAACATACACTCTATCTTTTATTCATTTAGAAAAATATATTGAATGGAAATGGCAATAATTCCGATAGGACAGGATATTTTAGGTAGATATGGCAATACGATTTGTAAACAAAGCGGTTGTTTACATTACCGATGTTGTTTACAATAAAGATGTTTTACCATGACCCAAGCCGGTTTTGACAAAGCAGCTCTTAACTCTTAAATACAAAACTTTTTTAAGGTGAAAAACTTCCTATTTCAGTAATCAGTCTTACATGTATGTGTTAGACCGCACAAATCTTCTTTGTAAATTAATATTATAGGATCTTTTGTTTCGATTTATCGCTATTGTGTTTGCCAGACACAATCACCTTTTCTTCTACGGGGGAAATGACGCAGGTTTTCACGCAACACGAGAGTTATTTCTGAATCATCAATTAACCTCGTATAATTCTTATCATGCAACTACTGTCGTTCCAATGGGTCAAATGACTGGACTCTTATACGCATTAGCACAAGTTGAGTTTAGTTCAATGACCTAATCGTATATCTGCTTGATCTGCATGTTAACTTTGCGTGTTAGTTTCAGAGATAAACACTTCTTTAATGATTTTACGGCTTATAGAACACATAAAATAACCCTCAAACTCGTTTCCGGGGTTTATAACCGTTTATATATACTTACCATACTCCTAAGTGTATCTCAAAAAATATTGAGAAAAATCACCAAGAAAAGCGTTCGACTATTTTTTTAAGGAACATGATTTCTTCGGCAGAGTTTCTTAAATACACCCAGGCATAATTCCTTTATGACTAACCACGTCTTGTTAACGCTGTTTTAATTGTCATGATGAACTGTTTTGAAAAGCGGGTAAATTTGCTTCAAGCGGGAATAGGGAAAGGCAAACAGATTGTTTCAAAGGGAGAAAAGTTAAAGCTGCCAAGTCATTTGTTATCTTAGGTTACGATATCGATTGTATACAAAAACGTTGCACTCGAAAAGGCAAAACGGAATAAACATTGCATTGGGCGTGGTGTGTGGGTTGGCGGACGAAATCAAAGAGAAACATCTTCAGTTTTTTCAATCGCTCTGTAATTTCCCGTTGTTCGGTATAGCTTTGTCTTTGATTAAACCATAGTATTCCTAAATTGATGATCCTCTTCCATAACTGTTAGCACCAAATCTATAATTTTATTGCTAAGGTATGCTTACAGATCTAGGGGATGAAAAATTCACTATCCGGCGTTGACAGTGCATGCTATCCAGCCGTACAAATGCATTGCGTGCATTTGCGGGATAACCTTACTTGTTAGCGCCTTACTGGAAAGCACTACAGTTCTTTGTACTTATGAAATGGTCAATTTTTATCGGCGATTTCTTCCGACATAAATGAGAATACCGGTCGTGGGGTTTGTTTAGAGCTGGTTCTCATTCGTGTATTAGAATATTTTTATGTTGATGCATGTCGTTAACGATTGCAAGTCTATACACAGAGAACAAAGGAAATCTGAGTTAATACGGTTATTTCACAATTACAATGAAGTTCACAACAATTACGACAAAATGAAACATGCTTAAGGTATGCATAAAAAGTTTTGTACGAGTAAAACCCGCACATGTACACGAGAACTATCAGCTGAGCTAAGATTAGCTCAGCCCGAAAATCATCCGCACACGACAGACACTTGCCTCTCGAGTTGAATTTCTCACGAAAACTATCCGTTTGCTGAGCTAACAGCCTCGCGAGGTCTTTAGCTCAACCGATAGCTCCCGTAGACGGCGGGCTTAAGATCTTCTTTGCCTAAAACATGCGGCATGGATGGCAGTCTTGTTGGTGCTACTAAAAGCGATCTTTATAATCTAAGCACTCAACGGCAACTTCCTGAGTTGCTAGCATGCAGCGATTTATATTAATAACTAAACTTCAAATGCTTTTAAAGTCTTGTATATTAGTTTACATTTCATAAGAGCGCTGCCAATATTAGCTTGCACTTCGAGTCCTCGTAGTGTTTTGATTTTCTCAAATACCAGAAAAAAATAAGATTTCAAAATATCAACGTCTCAACGTGCATGTGTAATTAGCGTGGTAATTATTGACATATCATGAACTAATCCAATATTAAGATCCCCTGTTTATACGTAGTGCTTATCTGGGTTGCAAAATTACTCAACAATTAGTCAAATATTATGACCATATTCGTTGTTTTCTTTGTTTCAAACAAAGAAATTAAAGGCCCGACTAAGAACTTCTTTTTTCAGTAATCTGGCAACCCTGGTGTTTGTGTCAAGAAAGAGCCTTGCTTATATAGGTTGTATCAAAACAACTGCAACCTTTATAATTCCCAGAGGCGTACGAATTTTTGCTGTATTGAATAGAAGCGAACATATATTATATTAAGATATAAGTGTTGCATTTATTTGATAATCCACCCTGTATAATAAGGTTATTACTTGTTAATATTGTTATCACTATTATTGGTGTTGATGACTACATTAATGGCCTGTAATTCTCCGTTTGAACTTCCTGTGTTTGTTTGTGATTTCATTGCTTCCCCTCGCGTATAAAGTTGGATATCACTTGCACTGCACGCAGTCTCACATTTAGCCTCGTGCAGAGAAGATCAGTGCAAAACGAACAACTTGTAAAGTAAGAAGAGAGAAAAATAAAATAACAACATCTGCAGTGAAGACGAGCGTCAAAGCTAACTCAGGTAAGAACTAAATTGCACGCCAACAGAGAAAATTCTTTCAATTCGAATTTCTATTACCTGACCGGTCAAACTAAAATCGTTACCTGTTAACTCACACGTTCAGATGCATTCACCCATATTTGCACAGCACTGCACTGTCCTGTACCCAGGTGCTTGTCATGATATATTTTAAGTTTTACGAGGTATAAATGACCTGTTCCTTATAAACCTAGTTCAGGCATTAAAAAAGGGTTTTTCACAAGGACACAATTCAGAGGAAATAATCGCTTAGAAAATGAATAAATATATGGGACGCAAATCTGAGCACTGTAGACGCCTTACTCTACGCTCGTCCAAAAATTTTGTAAGTTCCGGGACCGGAATGCGATTGTAGCGATTAGAAAAAGGCGTATATTTTCAAGTTATATAACCTTAGAGGGCCCGAGAGTGCAAAAAGAGAGTCCGTTAGAGACCAAATTTTGGGCTGCAAGTTCCCCATTTTAGCGACTTCATTTGCATGGGTTAATGAACCAGTGGAAGCATAGCTTTCAGTTAAACACCACAGTCTGGTAGTTACAATTTAGATATAAAATTTCAGATACGTAGAATTGTTTTCAAGAAGGTCGAGTCCAGACTCACGAGGCGTTACTTTGATTCACGCGAACCGGGAAAATTTTTGGGTTCGATTCCATTTGATCATTGAAAATATTGCCTCTGTTGTGAACGGTCGTAAACACACGCAAGACCTGATATAATGTTTCACGAAATTCTCACGAAAATTGTATTAAACAATGTCTGAATATGAATTTGATAAAAGTCCAAAATTTACAGTCTTGTCCCGTGTCTTGCTTGTTCGATGAACACATTCTTAACAGTTCCTTTATTCTGAACCTGTTGTTGTGTCTCAAAATGAACGACTGCGACAGCATGGGTTGATATATGGCATACATAACATAATGTTGTATTTGTAAGGCCTCGTGCAAGATTTCATAATAACTGTATTCTCTTGATCATAATTATAAGTGAATCCTTTCTTCGCACCAGGACCGAAACTAGAACGATAATTGGGAGAGGGGGCTGTCACTTCATATGTTCAATTCTGCCCGACGGATTCCTTTTGTAAGCTATTGAACTTACAAAAGAAATCCATCGGGCAGAACTGAATATATGAATGAACCCCCCAGTTATCTTTCTAGTTTCGACCCTGTTCCGCTCATTTTGTACGACCTTCCAAACGAGCCGCATTCACATGATGACAAGATCATTGCAATACCTAGTATAGCCATGCACGTGCAGGTTTTTCACAGGTTATTTGCATACTGTATGATTATCCTCGAATTGGGGATAGCAATGACGTAAGTAAGAGACAAAGAACTTTGTGAAAAAATGCAAACTGAGTAACAAAGTATTTTAATTGTTCCGACTACAGTTTAATTTGTATCGGATTCTAAATGAATCTCAAAGTTGTGGATAGATTTTTGCACGGGGTGGTATTCTAATTTCTTCTGATTTTTTTCCATTGGTTGTTTTTTTATCACGTACTTTGCGCTCATGGGTCATAAAAAACATGTGCCGTCCAATTTTTTCTTTCACATTCCGGCTTGACGAAGGGCATTTGAATGACTAGATAAGATAGTCTTTATTGTGTGTTCACATATAGCAAGGCTTCGGAAATGTTGTCATTACCATCTTCCTGTGCAGATAAGTTGTCGAAACGCTGATTCTCACAAAGATAACCAAATAATTAAAACCAATTTAACAGCTCATTAATAATTCTCTTGAATAATTCTTTAACCTATGAAATGAACCGTTAGAAGTCACATGGGGTGGCTTATAGGTAGTAAAATTAATACCATGAATGCTAATCAGGATGGCACATTATGTAATTTGTCACGCTCATTAGCATTCTTTATATAATGTTTCATCCTAATTTGCATTGCGTACATGGAGCAAATTGATTTGTTGACAACAATGCGGTGTATTTGAAGTAATTTAAACACTTGAACTCGCGTTTTAAATATGATGAAAAGTCCCTTCTCGAGTTATAAAATATGTATTCTACAATGAAATAAATGCATAATTCTGTATTGTTTATATACCGTGACTAACAGCAGCGTACATGTATCAATAATTCATATGTATACATGCATGGAACATAATTATAAAATAACATGTATTTAACGTGTGTTTTCATTGGTCGAGGCCTGTGTTTGGATCAGGCCATCCAAACACGGAGATCAAACTTGTAATACTACCTTGTTTTTGATATTTCATAAAATAATGGTTTACAGTATTTGGATCGCTTGATCCAAACACTTGGGAATGTTCCTTCAGTTCGGCTGTGTTCCACTGTCACGTTTTTTTTGTGCGTACGTATTCCCACGAAAAAGTTATTCAAATGATACTTATGAAATCAGCGATTGGGTAGATGCATAAAGGGTTGCATGCTGTTTGTAATTTGGTGTGCTTTTTCTGGCGTAAAATTAATTATACAAAAACTTAAAAGATTTTAGACTTTTACATGCATATACGTACGTGCAAAAAATGCGACAGTGGAAAGCAGTCCTAATTCTCGCAACATTCCCGCGTGTTTGGGTTTGTTCATTGCGTAATTGGAGGGTTGCGTAGATTAAAGCCCCGTTTACACTACGGCTCAATTTATTGGCACGGCACGGCTAAAATGGGCACCTGTAGCCATTTCATCTGTACTCGGCCTTTGTTTTGGTAGCCTGAACACTAATAAAATTGGGTACGGGTGCCTATTTTAGCCAAACCGTGCCAATAAACTCAGTGTAGTGTAAACGGGGCTTAAAAATTAACTTATCTGATACTTGGGTAGGTAAAGAAATGCGTGACCATAATGGTGGGTACACTGTAAATTCAAAAGAGTCGTTTTGACCAGGGCGAGTCATTTCAACACCTTTATTCAAAATGTCATTTTTACTCCTCTAATGTGTCGTTACGACTCTAATAGTCGTTTTAACTCCGACATTGGGTTAAAATGACAATTCGGAGGACTCGTTTAGTTCTTTTGAAGGGTCACAAGACTCTCGCAAGAGTCAATAGACTCTTAAGTAGAGTTCACATAGAGTCATGTGACTCGTTCTTGGAGCCATATGACTCTTTGTTGGAGTGGTGGAACTCTTTCTTAGAGTCATTCTGGCTTTTATAACAGCCACTAATATACAAAACAAATAATTTGTTTAAAATATTAAATTGAGGTCATTAGGCATGTTACATGTATCACAAATCCTTTGTATATTTGAAGCAAATAACCAGTCAACACATTAAAAAAATACTCAATTATTATGACACAAATACACTTGATATTAGTTGTTATCGTTTCTTCATGTATTGAGAAAGTCTTATAAATTTGTTAAGTTGCTTATATGTGTATGTTTGTGTCTGTCTATTTGTAAATTAGTTGTGGAACCCCGTTATTGGAGACATATCTCTGTGTGGTCATTCCAGCCATTGCATGTGTGTAGTTCATTTGTAGTTTATGTGTAGTTCATTCCAACTTTTTAACATAGCAAATTTATAAAATAAAATAAATATAAAAAAATATATTACGCTGCATGTATATAGGTTTTACATTTCTTGAAAATGTCAGCTGGAACAGGATATGCACACATAAAAATATATTATACATAAATCCATCTTAATAGTTCTGACTCATGCTGATAAGTATATGCTGATATCAAAAATGACAAATAATCAACTAACGTTCTGATTGGCTAAGACAGAAAGTTTGAATTTCAATGAGAACGTCAGCAATTTAACTGTCATTTCGTAAACCTTTTTGTAAAAGCGTTTCATAAACTTTGTGCAAAGTAAGACGGGAACAAACAAGATATGTGAAGCACAACAGATAGCAAAGATGAACAGGGATACAATCAAGACCGAAAGCCGTGTAAGAGAAATCTGCAAGCTTATAAGTGTTTTCAAAGGGTGTGTGTTTACTTTGTTTCTTTCCTATATTGCTTCGCAGTAAGGATGAACTGTATTTGTATAATTTTCAGCTTTGTATGCCGTTTATTTGTTTAATTTTCAGCTTTTTATGCAAACGGATAAACCTGTGAAGGGCTATTACACCTTTGCTTTAACTTCAAAAAGTGTTTTTGAAAGTGTAATTTGAATTTTGATATAAAAAATACACACTATGAAGTATAAAGCGTTTAGCCTTCGACTGCATTAAAGCATAAAATAACATTTTAGGCTTTTTCTTTGTCTCTGAAGTTTTGTACTGTTTTAATCGTTTGAGACTTCGATTTTAAACCATTACTTAATTAATTGTATATCCAACCCATTTTTTAAAGACACCGGACATTTGACAGATGGCCTGTTGGCCGATATTTTAAAGCCTGCATGCTTATATATATAGATATTTATTATATATAATTTCTCTTCAAAGAAACATATTTGCGGGATGCATGTATGGTATGCTGTAATACTCACTGCATATACATTATTAAACATCGTTTACTAAAACTCTGCTTTTGTATTATATGCAAGCTTCATGAAACTAATATTGGTGTTCAGTACTATAGTAAAATTGATGCCACAGAATAGTCGTAATGACCCCAAATAAGAGTACATTGATGCCAAGAAGAGTTGAAATGACTCCAAATAAGAGAAAAATCGATGTCAAAAAGGAGTCAAAATGACTCCAAATGAGAGTAAAATCGATGTTAAAGAAAAGTCAAAAGACTCCAAATAAGAGTAAAATCGATGCTAAAGAAGAGTCGAATGACTCCAAAAAAGAGTAATATTGATGCCACAGAATAGTCGTAATGACTCCAAATAAGAGTAAAATCGATGCTAAAGAAGAGTCGAATGACTCCAAATAAGAGTAATATTGATGCCACAGAATAGTCGTAATGAACTCCAAATAAGAGTAAAATCGATGCTAAAGAAGAGTCGAATGACTCCAAATAAGAGTAATATTGATGCCACAGAATAGTCGTAATGACTCCAAATAAGAGTAAAATCGATGCTAAAGAAGAGTCGAATGACTCCAAAAAAGAGTAAAATTGATGCCACAGAATAGTCGTAATGAACCCAAATAAGAGTAAAATCGATGACAAAAAGGAGTCGAAATGACTCCAAATAAGAGTAAAATTGATGCCAAAGGAGAGTCAAAAATCAAAATGACTCTTTAAAACGACACTTTTGAGGAGTTAATTTGCATTTTAACTCTTGCAAGAGTCATTTTGAAACGACTCCATGGGTAGTCAAAATGACTCTAGTTAAAGGGTTAAAATGACTCTTTACAGGTGTCAACCCAAAATGGGTCAAAATGACTCTCTTCAAGGAGTCGTCCTGGGGTCAAGAAAACGACTCCTTTGAAGGAGTCAAAATGACTCTTTTGAATTAACAGTGTAGTTTTCGATGGTGTGTACCACTTCTCCCGACTGTATTCTTTTCGGTACCAAGTTCGTTCTTATTATTTATCTAGAGAGATTCAAAATGTTTCTCCAAGAAATTTTGGTTTTGATCACCGTTCTATTACCGGTTGTATTCTCCACAGAAGATGTTGAAACTCAGAAGAAACGATCGGTAAATTACTACACCGTTGAAGGTTGCTACTCCTCATTTCCAAGCGCAGGTTTGAGAAGACGGATGCGTGGCCATAACTCCAACGTAAAGTGTCAAGAGATATGCAGAGATAAGGGTTACATTTTGGCGGCGACGAAAGGCGATCAATGTCAGTGTGGGAACATGTACCCCAAAGGAAAAAAATTGGCCGACAATCGATGCACCAGCAGATGTCGATCGTGGTCGCCCTGTCATGGACCTCAAAGCTGCTGCGGTGGACCCAGTGCTTATACCGTGAGCGTCGTTGGCAACATTGATGTCGCGAAACAAGTTCTTCGTAAACTAAGTCACGCATGGCAAACAAACAGCGGGTACAGGAAGTACATGATCGCACAGGTTAGAAGACCACGCACTAGAAGCAACAAGGACAACTGGTGGAAATCGTTTGACCATAAAGGTTGGTCGCAATGCGGGCATGGCAGGTACATGGCAGGATTGTACAGGAACAAGAGAAGAAGACGAAGAGACCCAATTTTCCTTCTTGAAGCGGCGAAGTGTGTCGATGCGCCTGGCTACCTGTATTCATCACCGGGGGATCGGTATTGTTACAACCACAACTGGTGGAAAAGTTTCGATCGCAAAGGTTGGTCTACCTGCAAATACGGTTACTACATGACCGGACTCTGGAGAAATTCGGGAAATAAATTAAGCCACATCGAAGAAGCCAAATGCTGCCGGCCGAAGTCCCAGGTGAGACGATGGGGACATTGTTACAAAAAAAACGTCTGGAAATCATTCGATCGCAAAGGATGGAACAACTGTAAACGAGGATACTACATGGCGGGGTTATACAGAAACTCGTGTAACAAATTATACTGCTTGGAAGAGTTTAAATGCTGCAAGATGGGATCTTACAATGGAAATTCATGGGTAAATAAACCAGATTTAGTGATCAAAGTCAAAGATAAATCTGGACAGCTTAAACAGTGTTCAATGAATGCGATGGATAGATCTGCTGGTAGCAACACATACAAGTGCAAAAGTATTTCCGATCGCTCCAACATTTTGGCGCTCAATGCTTTGAAATTCAACATCGAAGATAAGTCGCCACTGAACGTCGCCAAACCTGAACCAGTCAAAGGTTTTCGTCCTGTCATATGCTCCGCTCATTCCAATCCATACAAGTGCACGAAGTGGCTCACAACATCGGTATCAACTTCATCCACCTTCAAGATCGGTTCAGGATTCTCTTTGGCGGTAAAAGTTGGGGCATCTGTGCAAATCAGTGCAGAACTTTTTGGCACAGGAGCAAAAACCACCTTCACAACTGAAGTCACGGCCACATCCTCTTTCAATGTCGAATCCAGCAAGACGAATACGTACACGACAACGGATAAGACGGATGTTTCCATTGAAGTGCCGAAAAACACTGAAATCACCATCAACCTTCTGAGAACTGTCCAGGACTTGGAGTACAAGTGGAAAGCAATCTTCGAGTTGTTGGGAAAATACTCTGTTAAATGGAGAAATGGTCAGGAAATTTCTCAAGATGTGACGACTGTGCTGTCTGGGTCGAAGAGACAGATATATGCATTTGGTAGGTGGAGTTATCCAGGTACAGATGTCTTGAGAGTGGTGATCACTGACAAGTATGGGAATAAGAAGTCTGATGGATGTGAGCATGAGACAGGAAAAGGAAAGCGTTGTGATTTGTGAAGAAGAAAATATATAAACATTTTGTGAACTTATATTAATACCAGATATTCACTCGTGTCGTTCTAATCAAGAGAACATGTTAGAACTTTTAAGCAATTTTCATTCATCTTTCATTCATTCAGAATTAGCACTACAGTTGTCACCAAATAAGTGCGTTTTCCTTTATTTTTGAATAATAAATTTTAATACTTGCTGTTTAAATCATGTCGCAAACTAATTAACAATCTTATTTTGCATCACTCGCCACTGCGCATGCCAAAACATTTTAGGAAACCCTTAAAATAGCTGTATGATGTCGTCAGCATTTAATATTTGGGATTGTGTCTTACCACGTCTGGATTCCACGAATATAGTTCTCCCTTAAGTTTTCACCATCTCGTACCTCGGAAAACAAAAAAAATTACTCCACACGCGAAATTCCACCCAGTGGGAAAGAGCCACCGTCGCATCACTAAACATTCTTCCGTTTTTTTATCAAGGTGACTGGATGTTTTTCGTAATGCCTGCTTACTTTGATCAGCATTTCATTCAGAGTTTTTTGGCCCGTTGGTTGTATGAAAGCCAGATATAGCGCTATCCACCGGATACTGATTTTTTCAATCGCTTAATTATTAAATTTAAAATTGCCCGTTGTTTGGTATAACTTTGAATAAATCTAGTATATAGAATCTAGAATATAGTCTTCCTATATTGAGGATCCTGTCTCACAACGGCTCAAAAATTCACTATCCAGTGGATAGCGCTATCTATAGTACAATCGGCCCCATGATTACATTACAAAATCATTTGCATTCAGTGTGTGATAAACAGTTCTGTTTTAACGCGTTCCTCGACACAATTAAAAGTTAACTAGTTATGCCGTTAAAAGTTAACTAGTCTTTTATCATCTGGTCCCTGATCTGTATCTTAAATAGATTCTTTTTAATCCTAAACTTATGCTATTGGTTTTCCTTCCTCTAATATCCTGCTCAAGGCTATGCGGAACAGAAGATTGTCATCCATCCATTCCTATTTTGTTAAAGTAGCTCTTAACTCTTAAGTACAAAGCTTCGTGTAGTATTTCCTATACTTTTACAGAGGAAATGACGCTGTTTCTCACTTGTGTTCCCCTTAAACAACAAACCCAACGTTACAACGTACATCATATTGCTACATATATTACTATTTCTGTATCATGATACCACAACTTCGTATAATTTTATTATCATACAAATATTGTCGTTCCAAGGCGTCCAGTGCGCTATATTTAACTTGTTGCCCCATAATTGACATATTTCAAGCAAGCCAGCTTTGAGATCCCATTGTTACGTAGTTTGTCGCATTAAAATCACCCGTTGTTCGTTTGAGGATTCTATTACACAATTGTTGGTTCTAAAGCTGATGTCTTATTGCTTTTTAATCACATATAACGGTTGAAAAATTCACTATCAAGTGGATAGCGCTATCTATCGTATACCATCGGCCCTATGAAACATTACAAAATGTAAATGCTCCGTGTTTTATAAACAGTTCCGTTTTAACGCGTTCTTCGATATTCTGATTGAACCTACTTTAACTCTAAAGATTGACGTAGTTTTACGAAGAGAGAACTGAGTAGTTTTTATTAATTTTAATACATAAACGCAAATACATGCCTTATATGCGTGAATCTATATAATAATAATTTCATTCGTGCGCTTTTCCTCTCTCATCCAAATTCCCCCGTGTTTGGATCAGGGCCTGCAAGCACGGAAACTGTTAAATAATTAGCTAATTGTTTATTATTCCTATATACTCGGGGCGGATCTTTCAAAGACTGCTTTTTGTGCGAAAATATATAGCTTAGCTATAGCAATAATTGAACGCGCATGAAGCATGGGTATGACACTTTTACAAGTTTTCTTTCGTTTATAAGTATAATAATTATATAGTTTTGAATTTCCCATAATTTGAGATCACTAATTTTTCTCTCAAATACAAACACTATAAAAACGTCGAATACAAATTGATTAACAAATGGCTATAATACTACACAGGGGGGGGGGGGCAGAAATAGTCTGCTATAAAATATCAAAAACGATCGATGAAAAAAATTGTCTGTCTGCATGTACCGGTGGTACTTTATGATTCGGGCTGGTTGTAAAACTCTTTAAGGCTACATTTTGTATAGTTAAATCCTAGTTAACTCGGAAATACGCAACTCTGATTGGCCAATTCTATCTTTAAATACAGTTAAAAGTTAACTAGTCTTTTATACATCTCGTCCCTGATCTATATCACAAATAGATCCTAAACCTATGCTATTGGTTTCCCTTCCTCTAATATCCTGCTCAAGGCTATGCGGAACAGAAGATTGTCATCCATCCATTCCTATTTTCGTACGGTAGCTCTTAACTCTTAAGTGCAAAGCTTCGTGTAGTATTTCCTATACTTTTACAGAGGAAATGACGCTATTTCTCAATTGTGTTCCCCTTAAACAACGAACGCAATTAAGCAACGTATATCATATTACTACATATATTACTATTTCTGTATCATCATGCAACAACTTCGTATAATTTTATTATCATACAAATGTTGTCGTTCGAAGTAGTCCAAAAAGATGAGCTTTATTTAACTTTTTCCCCATAACTAAGATTCCTCATTCAGGATGGTGTGATTTAATTAAACCGTATAGCTATGTTTGATCTGTAATTTTGCTTCATAGTTTACAATTAGCTACGACTAAATTGGCTACAATTAGCTACGAAGAAATCCATGCATGTTAAAGAGTATAACCTAAAAATGTTTTTACACGAGTTAGAAGCTTCCTTGGCATGCATACCCATGCATGCATGTATGCATGGACGAAAGTCTTCCATTCTTGTGGTTCTGAAAGTGTTCCTCAGCCTAAGCACCCGACAACCAACGTCCGGAATAATTTTTCATATTCTTTCAAAGTATTGTATATATTCGAAGTTTACCTTTCATTTGTTTTATGGAAATGCATATTGCACTTTGAGTTGTGGAGGTTATTTGATTTTCGCGAATACCACCAAATTAAACGATACAAAAAATCACCTGTACCTAATAGCGTGGCTTATAATTGACATATTTCAAGTAATCCAGCATTGAGATCTCATGGTTACTTAGTTTGTCAAGAGAGGAATTTGTTTCTAGAGAAAGGTTAATGGCGTTTTGTCCTCTTTTTTTCCGTTTGAACTTCCTGGGTTTGGTCATTTCATTCCTTCCCCTCGCTTATATAAAGTTCGTGAGATCAATTGCACTCCACACACTCCTACTTTAGCATCGAATTGTGGGAACACGTGAAAAACGAACAACTAGCAAAGTCTGAAGACTGAGAAAATTGAATTAATATCTTCTGCGGTGGACGGTCAGAAACTAAGGTAAGAGTGCACGAATAATATTTAAGAGTAATATATTTATTCAAGTGTTTCTACCGAAGAGAAATGAGTTGGTTGAGTCACTTTTCTTTGTTGTATGGTTAAATATATTTGGGGAAAAACAGTGTGAAGGAGGAATTGGGTAAACTATTCTGAATATAAACCATCATTTGACCAGAATATTGAAATGAAACGGCTTGTTCTTGGATATATCCCCACAAAGAAAACAAGTAATAAAAACCAATCAATGCGTTATTCTATATTGTTTTTAACGTGATTTACAGTTGATCAATAAGACTATGAGCACACGGTAACGTTTTCCAGCGCTTTCATTTTCGTTTTCACGCCAAAACGGTTTCAAACACGTCAATTTACAAAAGAGGTTGAAGCTAATTTATAATATTAAAGTAATTCCGAAAAATGATAGCATAATACAAAGTTTATTCTGTAAATCTTGTAAACGTAAACCATGCTGCTGAAGATGAATCGATCTTGATTCGAAATATACAGAATAAATTTTGTATTATGCTTTCATTTTTCGGAATTACTTTAATTCTATATGTGCTAAAACTATCAGCTGGTAAAGGATTCTAATTTATAATATAAAGCATATTTTTCCTTCGAGCATGTGGACAGGGCGTCGAAACAATAAAGCGCATAGCCAGAGCGTGTGCACATAGCCTGAGTCATATGTATAATTATGTAACATAATTGCATTGGGTTGGATAGAATAAAAATTAAGACATGTAACGTTTTGGTTGGTAAAGAAATGGCAAGAACGAAAAGTTGCTTTTCTATCTTTTAATTCGACCAATTAATCTTTGTAACCAAACCTGCTAGGGTATAAGCAATGAACAGCGGATTATTGAGCCGACATGTTTTTTTTTACTTTTAGAGAGATCCAAAATGCATCTCCGAGAAGTGTTGGTTTTGTTCACAGTCTTGCTACCGATGGTCATATCAACGAAAGACCTGAAAACTCGGAAGAAACGATCAGTATCCTACGCTGTTGAGGGTTGCTACTCCTCTGTTCCAGGCGTGAGCCTGACAAAACAGATGGGGGGTCACAACTCCAACGTAAATTGTCAAGAGATATGCAGAGATAAAGGTTTCATTTTGGCGGCGACGAAAGCGGACCAATGTCAGTGCGGAAACGTATACCCCGCGGGAAAAAAAGTGAACGACAGTCAATGCACCAGCAGATGTCGATCGTGGTCGCTCTGTTATGGACCTCAAAGCTGCTGCGGTGGACCCAGTGCTTATACCGTGAGCGTCGTTGGCAACATTGATGTCGCGAAACAAGTTCTTCGTAGACTTGGTCTCGAGTGGCGAACAAACAGCGGATACAGGAATTACATGATGGCAAATATCAAAATGCCAGCCTCAGTAAGCCACAACGATAACTGGTGGTCATCTTTTGACAAAAAAGGTTGGTCGCAATGCGGGCATGAAAGGTACATGCAGGGAATGTATAGGAACAGCAAAAATAGTGAAGACGCTATTGATCTTCTCGAACAAGTGAAGTGTAGTGATGCGCCTGGCTACCTGTATTCAGCAGAAGGAGATCGGGATTGTTACAACCACAACTGGTGGGAAAGTTTCGACAAACCGGGTTGGTCTACATGCAAAGATGGATACTACATGGCTGGACTCTATAGAAATTCGGGTACCACATCGAAGAAGCCAAATGCTGCAAACCGAAGACCCAAGAGAGCAAATGGGGAAAATGTTACAATGAAAATGTCTGGAAATCATTCGATGACAAAGGATGGAGCATCTGTAAAGCTGGATACTTCATGGCGGGGTTATACAGAAACTCGTGTAACAAATTATACTGCTTGGAAGAGTTTAAATGCTGCACGATGGGAGCTTACAATGGAAATTCGTGGGTAAGTAAACCAGATTTAATGATCAAAATCAAAGACACTTCCGGAAATCTCAAACAGTGCTCAATGAATGCGAAGGATGTATCTGCTGAAAGCAACACATACAAATGCAAATGTATTTCCGATACCACTAACATTTTGGAACTCCATGCTTTGAATTTCAACATCGAAGACCAATCTCCACTGAACGTCGCCAAACCTGAACCTGTCGATGGTTTCCATCCTGTCATATGCTCAGCTCATTCCAATTCATACCAGTGCGCCAAAACGCTCTCTACATTGGTATCATCGTCATCCACTTTTAAGATTGGTACAGGATTCTCTTTGGCGGTTAAAGTTTCGGACTCTGTGGAAGTCAGTGCAGGATTCTTAGGAGCTGGTGCGAAAAACACGTTCTCAACTGAAGTCACGGCCGCAGCCTCTTTCAATGTCGAAGCCAGTAAGACAAAAACGTACACGAGGACGGATAAGACGGATGTTTCCATTGCAGTACCGAAAGACACTGAAATTACCATCAACCTTCTGAGAACTGTCCAGGACTTGGAGTACAAGTGGAAAGCAACCTTCGAGTTGTTAGGAAAATACTCTGTAGAATGGAGCAGTGGTCTGAAAGTTTCTCAAGATGTGACGACTGTGCTGGCTGGGTCGAAGAGGCAGATATATGCATTTGGTAGTTGGAATTACCCAGGTACAGATGTCTTGAGAGTGGTGATCACTGACAAGTATGGGAATGAGACGTCTGAGGGATGTGATCATGAGGCAGGAAGTGGACAGAGTTGTAATTTGTGAAGAAGAAAATATATAAAAAATTTTTGTGAACTTTATAGCATTTACCAAGTATTCAGTCGTGTCATTCTAAACAAGAGGACATGTTATAAGACATTTTCTGTTATAATTTCGACATCTTAAAAAGACATTAGAATTAGCAATACAGTTGTAACGAAATAGGTGGGTTTTTCTTTATTTTTGACTAATAAATTTAATAGCTGTTTAGATCACGTGTCGCAAATTGATTACCCAATCCTTTTTTGCATGACTCGCTACTGCGCATGCCAAGACATTATAAGAAAGTCTAAAGGTATAACTGTGCTGTAGCATCGACGTCGTCAGCACTTAATATCGCCAGCTCTCTGAGTGAACTTTGGTATAAAACACTTTTTTGCGTGGGCCAGTCACGAAGGGTGAAGCAACTTTTTGTATGAATCATACCAGGTTTATATGCTTTTTTCAAACAATTTTCAATGGAAATAATATTTCATCGAAGGAATTCGCATTCGACGGAATTTGCGATTATTTTAAGCCGATATATTTGAACAAAATTTAAACAAACAACGAATGTTTTTTTTTTTTTTCCTCGGGCACGATGTCTGTTTACAAAGTTTTCTTTAACAACGTCGTACAGAGATGATTTGCTGTTCCGTTAAGTGTATCCAATAGTTCTTCGTGTAGAATACATGCTATATTTTTTGTTACCGTTATCTAAAAATGTCGGTTAATTGAATCTAAAGGCAAGTTTTAAATATTTATTCAAATATTACCGCCACTTTAGCTACAAAATGTCCGCGCCGAAGAGAGGCTTCAGTGTCCGCTTTCTTAGCTGCAAACTTCCGGCGGAGCTGGCGTTCCAGTTTTATTTGAGTTCACTGGTTTTACCACGTCTAGACTGCACAAATATAATTAAGGGCTTTTTTCCGCTGGGCGGAATTTTGCGCACGAAGCGGAATTTTTCATTGTTTGCACGCTTTCACGCGGAACTAATGTGAGAAAAACAAAGAAAAATTCCGCTCCGCGCCCAAAATTTCGACTTGTGGAAACAGGCTTCATTTCTATCAAATACAATTTGTTCCGAACTTTTGCGCGCAGTTTCGGCGCTGAATGTAAACTAAATTGTGAATGAACTTTAACGAAAATAATCCAAAAGGACGTCATCGGAACGTTCGAGAATTTGTCAACTCCATATACATTCTTCAAGAGAACAAATAGCCGAAACTTGAGTAAATCAGCTCATTTTCTGGAGATCTATTTTTATTAACTTTGTTATTGCTTGTAGTAGCGTGCTGGGGCCGGTTGTACGTATTTGAAAGCTGGATAGCGCTATCCACCGGATAGTGATTTTTTCAATCGCTTTGAAATCATGCACCAGTTGTTTGCTATCACTTGGATTAAATGTTAGTATTCCTAAATCGAGAATCCTCTTTAATAATTGTTGGTTCCAAAGATGAGATTTTATCGCTTTTGGAGCATTTGTATAGAACGGTTGCGCTATTCAGCTTTGGTACAAGCGCCCCCTGATTAATTTGAACATGAATTGAAATATACCACCAGAACGGAAGACTGCACTTAACTCCTAAATACAAAACTTCATTTACGTAAATGATTTCCTTCTTTAATATTCGGTCCCGTTTTCACGGTGCCGGATTGCTATCCGAATTCCGAATTGGTCAAATTTTGCGGTTAATGAATGGTGAAGATCCTCATGCTCAAGTCCATAATGAATGATACGAGATCTATCAGCATTGACTTCAACGGGAATATGTCGTGCATGACGTCGATTGACGTCAACGGGAATATGTGGTGCATGACGTCAATTGACGTCAACGGGAATATGTCGTGCATGACGAACGAATCCGGATATGGTGTAAAGAAAGGGCTGGAAGGCTGGAAAGCTTGCATAAATGAGAACCACCAACCTTGCCAACATACGCATAGATTGTAGTCTTCCATTCTGGCGATGTTTAAAAGTATTACTAAAAGCAGTTGATCTTAAAACGAAACCTGCATGTAATTGTAGTCGAACTTTGCATGTGCCGAACCTAATGTTAATATGCTGAAGTCTTTGTCTAAGTTTATTTGCATACAATTGGGCGCATGAAATGTTCGACGTTTGAAACAGGTCTGATAAGGTTCTGAATAACTAACAATTAATGAAAGTCATACTACATATGCAAAGTATTGTATATATTTTCAAAGTTATAGCATTTTCACTAAGCCGGCCGCGGGACGGCAAATTACAATCGGTTCCCTTAGATGATAGATTTACATTTTGCATCTCGAACCTAGTTATCTGATTTTCTCGACCATTTACAAAACGACACAAAATGTCATGGGTACTTAATAGCGTAGTATATTACTGGCGTAATCAAGTAATCCAATACTAACATCCCCTGGTTACGCAGTACTTGTATCGTCGACAGGGGAAATTTGGATTTCCTGTGTTTGTTTATTTAATTGCTTCCCCTCGCATATAAAGTAGGACTTGGTGAAATCATTTGCACAGCACACAGTCTCACAATAGCATCGTATACAGAAGACATTTGCACGAAGAAGAACTAGCCAAACTCTGAGAAGAAAAATTGAATCTACAACGTTTACATTCAGTTGAAGTCTGGCATCAAACCTAACTCAGGTAAGAACTAAATTGCACGGCATCACGGAAAAATCTTTGGTAATACGTATTCCATTATCTGACAGGGGCCGGTTGTATCAAGCCCGTTTAGCTTAAACGGTGGATAAGTCAAATTTAAATAACGCGTTTACATCTCTCTTGAATGAGTCAACTTGAATATTATGCACTGAATATGTAGTTGTAAAGAGTATCTTTGTATTAAGGTTGAATAAAACGATAGACTTGCTTTCTATTTTGAACTTAACCACCGTACAAGCTAAACGGGCTTGATACAACCGGCTCAAGGTTGAGTTAAAATCTTTACATGGTGCATGATATATGATCTTACGTTAATAAAAGCTTATAAGTTTATGCATTGTACCGATGTTAATGCATTTATGCTTCTCGATCTTTGTCGAAAAGTTCAAATATTCAAACGTCTTTGGCTTTCTGTAATGATGTTCGTCAAGCTTAACTTGATTGTGAGAAGTTTATCGTGTCCATTCAAGCCATAATTAATGTATACAGAGGGGCTCATTTGGTTATGTACATATTAGGTGCACGAAATCTTTATTTTTCAGGGTAATGAATGATAAAATCGTAATTTTTGAAGTCAAGTTGTGACCGCATGTGGCTTGTCCATATAGATATAAGCGCGCACGCACCTATTGACGCGGACAAATCTGATATTTGCGTCAAAGCCAACACACACGGATGACGGATCCGCCAACGCCACGCGATTTTTAAAAACTTTTCAGTTTTCAAAAGCTGCTAATTTCGACAATGTTATGATATCCTAGATTGGTAATGATTATCATTCAGATAATAATACATTTTGACTTGTCTGGTGCCATATCTCTCAAAATATTCTTTCAGAATGGAAAATTCGCGTAGACTGAGATTGAAAAGAATGCGCTCATATTTGAAGCAAACGGATCCTTGTTTATTATAGTTTGTTTTGCGCGATATAAAAGAACTGCATTTAGACTTCAATTTGCCATGTCGAAATATTTTAACGTTTTGTCGTTATACTTAAATAAGAACTGACAAGTGACTCGCTGTAACATGTTTTCAGCATACCCGTGCACGAATAACTCTTATAATACTGTTCAGACTCTTAGCTAACGATACCTACTATAAACAAAGGCAGAACTATTGAACTTTTAACGAAAATTTAATTTTCGTATTTCGTATAATAATATTCACGAAACCCTATTTCACATTAAAGTAGATCAAATAGACTAATGTTTAATGAATATTACATCTTAGTTGAATATGAATATTATATCTCGAAATGAATACTATATCTCGCAAACCCAGAAAAGTCATTCTGTGTAACTCATGCATATACATGTGAATTGTACCAGCTACAGTTGGTATATTGGACTCCCCATGCATCAGTCCATATATTGTAGATACATCTTTGACTGCGGAATGGTTCATGAATTCTGATTTGTTTTGAATCTTTATTTCCTATTGGTTTATTTTCATCACGTGCTTCGCTTTCACAGTTTAAACAAGACATGCGCTCTCACAGATTTTCCTTCATATTTACTCTCTTAAGAAAACCCTTTATACGCGGCGAACGCAACGATGCGCTTCAATAGTTTATCGTTTCCTCTGTGTTATCGATCACAATTAAATGTGCGTTTAACTAAAACATTATCCAGTATCCGGCATGCCGACCACCGCTATACAGTCATTAATAGTGCCACAATGTTATGGATTATTTTCCTTTGAAAACCGAGATTTGCTTCACTCTTTTAATGCAGTTTCCCACTGAATTCGCTATATACTATAAGGATTAAGAAATATAGTCATATATATATACTGTCTTAAGATGTAATTTTGCGAAAGTCTTTATCAATAGCTACATACGTTTGAACGACTATTATTTAACCATTAGTCGCCGAAGGCGATGTTGCTACAAGCCTATTGAGCTGAAGGCGAAGTGAATGTAGGCTTGTAATCACCGAGCCTCAGGCGACTAATTGTTTTAGTATAAATTTCGAGGTGTTTACAAATAATAATCAACACAATTTCATAAAAAATTATAATTGCTTCAAATATCTCAGTTGAAAAACAACAACAAAAAGCTACAGTCACCGGCCAATGACTATCACTTCAGAGACAGTGAATCTTGACTAATCAGAATGCAGGAAAATCAATAGTCACAATATGCTAAATCACTATAGTTTAGAAATCAGTTGCTTGCTGGCTTATAATGCTTCATGTCTGTGGAAAACAATGTTTTAGCGGCTTTACATTGACCAATTCCATTTCACTCCAAATTTCCTCCCATGCATATTGTGGTTTGTTTCTACTCATTTTAATTTTCTCATTTTAATGTTGAGATGTTTAATAAATTTGTTTATACCTGAAATTATTGTTTGTAACTATATAATATTGAGTAGAAAACACAACTGCTCATATCAAGTTTCTCCCATTTCAGTTTCAGATGCATGTTCACACTGTCTATATAACTGTATGTCGTAAGAAACTGAGGTTCTTTGTCTTACATAAGTGGTGTGCAAAACCACTTTGTCTATCGGAAAATAATACAACGGATATGATTTAAAATGAAAAATACATCAATGGATATGATTTCAAATTTGAGTGACTTGTGCGCGAATTTTTGCCCGTGAGGATTTACCAGTGCAATTTATAAAATGCTAAATAAAAGAGGGATATGTCAAAGGTCATGATGCTTCGGTTGTGCATGTTATCCATATTTGTAAAGTGTAAAATTATGTTAAGTGTATAATTACAATAAAAATGCTTATGCCAAAGGTTAATACACTTGTGGGTCCCAACATGCGTGGTTCTTGGGGATATTTTTTGGGGGAGGGTGGTTTGGGATACTCTGTAGTGTGAATCAGGTCGAACGGATTTTTAAACAAACATGTTTTTATTACTTTTAGAGAGATTCAAAATGCATCTCCTAGAAATTTTCGTTTTGATGACCGTTTTGTTACCGATCGTAATATCAGCGGAAGATGTGGACACTCGGAAGAAACGATCAGTATCCTACGCCGTTGAGGGTTGCTACTCCTCATTTTCAAACGTGGGTCTAAGAAAACGAATGCGTGGCCACAACTCCAACGTAAAGTGCCAAGAAGTATGCAGGGACAAGGGTTACATTTTGGCCGCGACGAATGGAGATAACTGTCTGTGTGGAAACGTGTATCCCAAAGGAAAAAAAGTCGCCGATAGTCATTGCACCAGCAGATGTCGATCGTGGTCGCCCTGTCAAGGACCTCAAAGCTGCTGCGGTGGAACCAGTGCTTATTCTGTGAGCGTCGTTGGCAACATTGATGTCGCGAAACAAGTTCTTCGTAGACTAAGTCACGAGTGGCAGACGAACAAGAAGTACAGAGATCACATGAGAAATTTTGTTGCGATAGGCAAAATTCCAAGAAAGATTGGAAATCATGTAGAGAAATGGAAGAAATCTTTTAACAAAAAAGGTTGGTCGCAATGCGGAAAAGACAGGTACATGACGGGCTTATATAGGAAGAAGAAAACAAAAAATGACCCTATTTCCCTTCTCGATCAGGCAAAATGTTCCGATGTTCCTGGCCTTCTGTATTTAACAAAAAATGATCGGGATTGTTATAACCACAATTGGAAGAAAAGTTTCGACAAAAAAGGTTGGTCGACATGCAAAAACGGTTACTACATGACGGGACTCTGGCGAAATTCGGGAAATAAATTAGACAAAATCGAACAAGCCAAATGCTGCCGACCAAAGTTCCAGGTGAAAAAATGGGGACATTGTTACAATCAAAACGTCCAGAAATCGTTCGGTAGCAAGGGATGGAGCAGTTGTAAAAGTAGATACTACATGGCGGGGTTATACAGGGACTCGTGTAACAAATTAAGCTGCTTGGTTAAATTTAAATGCTGCAAGATGGGAGCTTACAATGAAAATTCGTGGGTAAGCAAACCTGACCTTGTGATAAAAGTTAAAGATACTTCCGGACAGCTCAAGCAGTGCTCAATTAATTCGATGGATAAATCTGCTGATAGCAACACATACAAATGCAACACTATTTCCGATCGCTCCGACATTTTGGCACTCAACGCTGCGAGATTCAACATCGAAGAAAAATCGCCACTGAACGTCGCAGCACCTCAACCAGTTAAAGGTTTCCGTCCAGTCATATGCTCCGCTCATCCTAATCCATACAAGTGCACGAAGTGGCTCACGACATCTGTATCAACTTCGTCCAGCTTCAAGATCGGTTCAGGAGTCTCTGTGGCGGTAAAAGTTGGGGCATCTGTGCAAGTCAGTGCAGGATTCTTTGGCACAGGAGCGAAAAGCACCTTTACAACTGAAGTCACGACCACAGCCTCTTTTAATGTCGAATCCAGCAAGACTAATACTTACACGACAACGGATAAGACGGATGTTTCCATTGAAGTGCCGAAAAACACTGAAATCACCATCAACCTTCTCAGAACTGTTGAGGACTTGGAGTACAAATGGAATGCAACATTCGAGTTGTTGGGAAAATATTTTGCTAAATGGAGCAATGGTAAGCAAGTCTCTCAAGATGTGACGACTGTGCTGTCTGGGTCGAAAAGACAGATGTACGTATTTGGGAGTTGGAATTACCCGAGCAGAGATGTCTTGAGAGTGGTGATCACGGACAAGTATGGGAATAAGAAGTCTGAGGGATGTGATCATGAGGCAGGAAAAGGAGAAAATTGTGATTTGTGAGGAAGACAACATATGAACAGGTTTTGTGAACTTTATAACACTTACTAAAGTATTCAGTTGCGTCATTTTGAATATTTAGAGCGAGACGTTTAGGTCATCAATATTGTAGCTAAGATATAGTCGAAGGCTTTTTGTTAGAAAACTTTTTCTTTGTTAATTAACTTGGACGATATTACGGAATTAGAAATATAGTCGAAACAAAGTAGGTGTGTTTTTTCTTAGTAAATTTCAATGGCTGTTTAAATCACATTGCATCGACTGGTTAACCAATCTTTTCTTGCATGATTACTGCGCATGCGGAAACATAAGAAAGCCGCACTTTAGCCTTGTTGACGTCACCATTTGATATTTCGGATCGTGTCCGATATGTTAACTTAATCGAATCGTGTTGATGTGTTAACTTAATCCGTGGTTGTAAGCCAAAATTTTAAAATACTCTTATAATTTATATCCTGTATGAATAATTGAATCTACACCTCGTGCATTGAATTCGTACTTTCATTGAAAATTAAACTGTCCCATTCCAGTAGCGAAGACAGCTATTGTACCAGCAATTCAAAGTTCAGGTTTTTTAAGGGTTAGAGACTGTTCTGAGTATTTTGTTGAGAAATGAACGCATTTGGTGACCCTACAATGAACTCGAGATTTCAATACTGCACGAGGCCGTAGTTCATTATGGTTCATTGCTGCATTGAAGATCCAAGCTTCGTTGCATAACCGTGATTTTCATGGGTTATTGCGTATAAATTACCACTCTCATGATCTGTCGCCAGGCAACAAGAAACCACGTGATTGATTTTGACCAATCGCGTGAGTAGATTTAGGCCAATGCACGAAAATTGTATATATTAATTGCGTTCGACGAAGGAGAACGCTTCCTAGCTTTCCTAGTTACTCATTCATTTCATTGTCATACCGTATACTTACTTAACTGATTTCTTTTTCAAAATCGGTTGTTGGAAATCAACGGTAATAATATTCGTTCAGAAAAATTAAAACTCAAACCGAAAAGTCTTTTTAAACGTTTTTAAATTGTTAGTATATTTAAATGTAAGATAATAAATTTTTAATTTTCCTTTTTTTTTTCCATTATAAGACGGCTGGTTGTAGTTTGTACGCATCAGCAATGCTACGCATTACGCAATTAACATTAATTTTTAAGATCTCTATACACGCGAAAATACCAAACATGTAATATGTTAGATTGTCAAAAGCATGAAAATAAGAGGTTCTTTATAAATAATTTTTGTATACTTCACCTGAGCAATTTTACATGTGCTATTATTCTTTAATTAAAGATGTTTAATTTAGCAGAAAATCTTGCCTCTAGACCAAATATCCTAATTTCATAAGGTCCTAATTGCCTCCAAAAACAAACCATATTATAGTTACAAAAATTGTTTATAAAGAAGTTTTTTTTTCATGCTTTTGACAATCTAACATGTTTCAACATTCTAACAGGTGAGCACCAAGCTTTTATGTGAACAAGCAGACCATGAAATCAAATCCACAAACACAGGAAGTTCAAACGAAATGTTAAGTGATTTGGGGAAGATTTGTCAACAACATTGCATGATTTCCCCTCGTAACAAGTACCTAGGGGATCTTAGTATTGAGTTGATTGACATGTCAACAAAGCTAGCCTTTTAGGCAAATATATCGGATTGCTATGAGAACTGAGAGGTCGTATTTGATCGAATATATAGAGGACCGGGACGTTTTTGTATATTTCACCTGAGCAATTTTACATATGCTATTCTTTAATTAAAGATGTTTAATTTAGTAGAATTGACAATCTTCCCTTGCGTATAAAGACCAAAGTCCTAATTTCGTAAGGACCTAGTCGCCTCCAAAAACAAACTAGTACCCGATCCTCCAGATACTCTATCATATTCGACTTCTCACACTTCGCGAATTCAAGACGAAGGCAAGATGCTTCTATAAGCCACCGACCACACTGTATAGCAGTCCGATATATTTGTCTAAAAGGCCAGCTTTGTTGACATGCCAATCAACTCAATACTAAGATCCCCTAGTTACTTGTTACGAGGGGAATCAATGGCGTTACAAATTTTCCCAAAATCACATTTCGTTTGAAATTCTTGTGTTTGTGGATTTGATTTCATGCTCTGCTTGTGCACATAAAAGCTTGGTGCTCACCTGTTAGAATGTTGAAACGTGTTAGATTGTCAAAAGCATGAAAATATTATGAAGTTTAAAAGGCCAGCTTTGTTTACATGTCAACCAACTCAATACTATAAGATCCCATAGTTACGTGTTACGAGGGGAAATCAATATTGTTGAAAATGTATTTTATGTATTTATACATAAAATCTTCCAATACATAAAATCACTTGACAAATCTTCCCCAAATCACTTAACATTTCGTTTGAACTTCCTGTGTTTGTCGATTTGACTTCATGGTCTGCATGCGCTCGTAAAAGCTTGGTTGTCACCGCAATCAAACATTTGCAACCTACAAAGACGAAGCAACGCGTGAAAATTGACAAACAACTATAGGCATTTCAAGCCACAGGAAAAAGGTAAAAAAACAAAGGCCCGCTGTCACCTAAACCAAACTCAGGTGAGAATAATTTGCCGCTTTAACGGTGAACTAAATCTTTTGCACGATATTCATTTTATACTCTGATTGAACTATTACAAATAGAGGATTCCACTGAAATGTTTCTTTAATCAAATCCTTTTTAAATAGACCCAACTTTTAGTTATACTGGCTCGGCGTCGCTTGAAACTCTAGTCTAAGCTTTCAATCATTGATGTTTAATAGCTGACTTTAGTTGGGGGTTATCCGTCCTATTCCCAACTATTTTTTTAAAAAAAGATGGATTGAGATCAGCAGTTATATCAATATTAAAATATACAGTCTTCCGGCCAGTTAAACCTCAAGCGACGTTCTTGAATGACTCAACTTGTACAGGAGGAGAATATCGTATACTAACTATACTTGTATTAGTCCTACTTGCTCGGGTGGAGAACGATAGCTTTTTCGAATTAATACTTTTTTAATTGTATCATGCAATCAAATCATACTGCCATTTGCGTTCAAGCTTAGGCGTGCAAAATATTTCGCGTTTCTTTACTATTAAAAACGCGACGTTTCAGGGGAAATTTGACAGTTTGATATTGATCATTGATTCGTTATGAGGATGTAACGGTTATCATTTGATATTTTTGATTGACAAGCAGAACGTTTGAACCATTTACAATCAAATTGCAGGTTTCAATGTAGTTATCACACCTATATAACGTTTATTATCAAACTTGCTGTTTTGTGAATCAAAACATGTCATTTTCGTTACTAACAAGTACGATCGTACTATAGTGGACCGGGAACTGCGTAACCGAGTTTAATTTCTGAACTGCATTGTATTTATAACAATGGAGAGGACAATGTATTTCTAATCGTTTCCGTTTACTTATATATAGGCTGAATATTAATGATATGTATATATTATTTGCTGCAAATATATCAAGAATTGCTTGTAACTTGCTTCAAAGGTCAAAAGTAAAAATTCGAACTCCGTCAATCGATGCGGAATATTGCTTAGAATAATTGTGCCAAGTTTCATTCCGATCAAACAAGTAATGCTAGAGCCTTAGGGGTTTTTTAAAGAGCGTTGCCCCCTAACAACAACAACAACAACAACAACAACAAGATTAGCAGCGGTTAGGGACCAGTTCCTGGTCCAATAATAACCGTTGCATGCTCATATTTAGCCTCCTCAGCAGGCATCTCTTATGTATTTATATTAGTTATATTAGGCATGGAGTAGCTGCGTCTTTTTCACGCTCCCCCGACACAGCTAGCCGAAGCCAAATATGCTTTTCGTTAATACATAAGAGATGCCTGTGAAGGAGGCTAGCTCATATCAACGAATAGATATATTTGGCCAAACGTGGCTAATTACCCCGCGAAATATTTTGCACGCCTCAAAGCTTGAACGCCAATAGCAGTAATGATCAAATGCATGCATAATTATGCACAATTGCTTGAAATAAACAAGAAAACTTAGGGACTCCTAAGGACTGTTCATATGATTGTTCGTCAAATACAAGATATATAACAAAGATAGCGTTTGAAAGAAGAGAATATGACTATTTTAAGGCTATTTCTCACATCACAGAGCCTTTTTAAGTGTAAAACGTTATTAACACAATATTTAGAAGTGAGAACTTCCGTCAGAAAATGCCCCATTTGTGCTGTGATATATAATCAAGAGCTCACAAAGCCTCGAAGATTCGACATATTGTCGAGGGTCGAGAACAAGTTTGGGTCAAGGCTTAGTGAAATGTAATGAAACACCTTTTAAGTTGAAAACAAGTAAAAAAAAACACTGTATCGGAACCAAGTAAAAAGAAATGCTTCTGAGGTTGGTTGTATGAAAGGCGGAAAGCGCTACCCACTGGTTAGTGATTTTTTCAACCGTTCTAAGAAGCAATAAAATTTCATCTTTGGAATCAACAATTATTAAAGAGGATCCTCAATTTAGAAATACTAAGACTTAATCAAGATTATACCAAACAATTAACGCACGATTTTAAAACGATTAGAAAAACCCACTATCCAGTGGATAGCGCTATCCGGCTTTCATACAACCGGCCCCTGTGCTTCTGAACACGACATATCTTTATTATTCTTAGAGATTAAAAATGCTTTTCCCAGAAGTGTTGGTCTTGTTGACAGTCTTGCTACCGATGGTCATATCAGCGGCAGATGCTGAAACCCCGCGGGAAAAAAGATCTGTTAATGCATACACCGTGGAGGGATGTTTCTCTTCTGTCACAGGCGCAGGTCTGACAAAACAGATGGGGGGACACAACTCCAACGTAAAATGCCAAGACATATGCAGAGATAAGGGTTATATTTTGGCGGCGACGAAAGGCGACCAATGTCAGTGTGGGAATATCTACCCCAGAGGGCATAAAGTTGCCAACAATCGATGCACCAGCAGATGTCGATCGTGGTCTCCCTGCCATGACCCTCAAAGCTGCTGTGGTGGACCCAGTGCTTATACCGTGAGCGTCGTTGGCAACATTGATGTCGCGAAACAAGTACTCCGTAGACTAAGTCACGAATGGCAGACAAACATCGGATGGAAGAATTACATGAAATCACATGTTAGAAGACCAGAAATTCATACCCACAACGAAAACTGGTCAAAAACCTTTGACAATAAGGGATGGTCAACCTGTGGGCGTGGCAGGTACATGGCGGGTTTGTACAGGAACAGCTGAAGGAGCAGTGATTACATTTATCTTATCGAGGAAGCATATTGTGTCGATGCGCGCGACTACCTTTTTTCGGCAAGGGGTGAACGAGATTGTTACACCCATAACTGGTGGCATAGTTTCGACGACAAAGGTTGGTCTACCTGCAATAACGGATACTACATGGCTGGACTCTGGAGAAATTCTGGAGAAAAACTATACAGCATCGAAGAAGCGCTATGCTGCCGACCAAAATCCCAGGTAAAGAGTTGGGGGCATTGTTACAATCACAATGCCTGGCATTCATTTGATGACCGAGGGTGGACCGATTGTAAACCTGGTTACTACATGGCGGGGTTATACAGGAACTCGTGTGACAAATTATACTGCCTGGAAGAGTTTAAATGCTGCAAGATGGGAGCTTACAATGGCACTCGTTCCTGGAAAGACCACATCTTGCGATCAAAGTTAAAGACACATCCGGACAGCTCAAACGATGCACGATGAATGCGATTGATAAATCTGCTGATAGCAGCACATACAAATGCAAAAGTATTTCGGATCGCTCAAACATGTTGGCGCTCAATGCTTTGAAATTCAACATCGAAGATAAATCGCCACTGAACGTCGCTAAACCTGAACCAGTCGAAGGATTCCGTCCCGTCATATGCTCCGCTCATCCTAATCCATACAAGTGCACCAAGTGGCTCACGACATCCATATCAACTTCATCCACCCTCAAGATCGGTTCAGGATTCTCGTTGGCGGTAAAAATTGGAGTCTCTACGGAAATCAGCGCAGGAGCTTTCGGTTTAGGTGGTAAAACAACCCTTACAAAAGAAATCACTGGGACAGGATCGTTTAATGTCGAATCCAGTAAGACAAAAACATACACAACGTCGGATAAGACGGATGTTTCCATTCAAGTACCGAAAAACACTGAAATCACCATCAACCTTCTGAGAACTGTCCAGGACTTGGAGTACAAGTGGAAAGCGATCTTCGAGTTGTTGGGAAAGTACTCTATGGAATGGGCAAATGGTCAGCAAATCTTCCAAGACGTGACGACTGTGTTGTCTGGGTCGAAGAGAGAAATGTACGCATTTGGTAGTTGGAGTTACCCAGGTACAGATGTCTTGAGAGTGGTGATCACTGACAAGTATGGAAACAAGAAATCTGAGGGATGTGAGCATGAGCCAGGAAAAGCAAACGCTTGTGAGTTTGTTGCAGGTGATATATAAACCTTTAATTGGAAGCTTTTACTACTTTAGCAGGATAGACATTTTGACTATCTTAAACTTTTATATCAGGAATGGTAAAGTCGCCATTATTTAGGCTAAATAATGAGACACTTGTGCATGGGAAGATTTTATTTCAATGATTCCTGCGATACTTTTTAAAAAATTAAAAAAAAGAATTAGGAATATAGTTGTGACGTAATGTGCTAAATGTTTTTTGGGGTTTACTTTTTGGAAAAATAAATGTGTTTTTTTAATTAAGTCGTTGAATAATTATTCATCTTTTTTACATAATCTGCGATTCGAAATAAATAGCGGTCGGGAAGCGCGCCAAAAGAGAATAACCTTATCCACCTATACTCAATGTCGCAAGATGTGTCATTGCACCTGACTAATTCCCTGTTCATCACACGATACCGGTTTCGCTGCATGTCACGACATCTTCGTTTGCCGTTATGAAGCAACGGCTGGTAGCAAATGCTTTTTACTTTGATAGATCTTATTCAGGTCTTGGACGCTAAAAATCTTCACACTGCCTTGTATTACTTACAAAATTTGACCTGTTCCTATAGCAATCCGGTAGCGTGTGAACGAGGCCTAAGTGTACCATGTGTATGACGACTGCTACTGCTTCTACAAATTGCTCTATAAATCACGGGATTGCACCAGCGGGTGTTTATATGAATTTTATTGCTTGGAAGCGTTTGAATGTTGCAACATTGGTTAAGATACAACTGGACATCATCTTTAAACATGATAACAAACCAAATGCCAAGGAATAAAAACGTGCATGGGGATAACTTAATTCCATTTATATACGCTGTACTTGTATCGTATATATATATACAAGTGTAGTTAGAAACTATAATATATAACATCGCTTGTTAGTGAGATTGATGCATGAACGCAGTACACTACAGTGGGGCCCAACTGGAGCAAAAAATGTCAAGAAACGTTCGTGAAAGGATCAATCGTGCGCTCCCTGTCGTTGGATAGGATAAGAAAGACTTTATAAAATTTAGCAAAAATCTCCGTTAACATGCTTTGCCCGCAAACTTGGATACGGCGCTGACTTTTCGTCATTCAAAGATTTCATGATGCAAGATTACTCGCCTCAAACATACTTCTCACTTTTTGCAAGCCTCAGTAAGTGTATATGAATTAAAAGTGCTTGCATCATAATAGAGCGAGAGACGATTAATATGTTCAATGCAATAATAACTCCGGGTCTACGACATTTATAGTGGCGTAGCCAGCTAATGTACCAGCTATTAATATTCAAAGTTCAGGTTATTATGAATTATAGAAAGTTATTCATTGTCATGCATTCATTGTCTTTACAGTCAATGAACACCAAAATGCTACGAATGAGAAACTTAATCACCAGCTGCCAAGCTATTGTTTAGATCCGGCGAAATATTTAAACTCAGTTCAGGTTTAATGAATGAATGGCTCATTTTGTTTTCTATTTGAACTTATCTGCCGTTTAAGCCAATCGCCTTTCGAACAACTTGCCCAACTAGGCAGTAATTATGCATTCAAATTCCAACAAAGGCTTCATATACGCCCCGTATACTTATTTACATCATTTGAATACACGATTATACTAACGCATGGGGCAGTTTGAAAGACATTTGGCTTAAACGGCATATGAAAGAAAGAAGGATTTTGATCCAGAATTGGGAGAGCAGATTTAGCCGTTTTTAAATGGATTTTTACACCGGTTGCGGCTTACAGGAAGAATTGTATAAGGGTAGAATCTTGGCAGAGATTACATAGATGCATATCCAAGCAAAGGAAATAGCCGAAATATGCTTTTGGTTTCGACAAATCTTTCTTTGTTCGGCTTAATTTTAGTCCATTATTGTTTGTGACTCTTTACATCGAGCAGGGAGCTGTAAAATAAATTGCTGCCAAACTCTCACCCGATTGTCGGGAGCAGGTTTGGACAATGAATGTGAACTAAGTTGTGAACTATGAAACGAAAATAATAAACATGGTCATCGTCGGAACGTGCGATAACTCATGCTTCGGGGGACTAGCAGACGAAACTTGGGTAAGTCACATCATTATCTTATACGATTACTCTATTTTGATATTGCTTCATGCAAGTATTGGCAGTAGCGTGCTGATGAATTTTACGCCATAGAAGTGTGAAAATCTTGGGTGGCCAGAGGTGTACGTGCGTGTGTCCAAGTTCCTCTTGCGGTCTTACATACAGTACGCCTTCGACAATATGTGATGTAAGGTTTTAAAGTGACCAAAAAAATATCAATGACGCCAAAAGAAGATTATCAGGATTATTTAAACTGGAAACCAGTTGCAAACGAAAAGCATTCCTCATCGTGAAACAATTGTCGCCTAAACATCTCCCTATAGTCTGCGCGGACAAAATTTTGATATTTTATCTCTCATTTTTACGACACGAATGACAGAATAACTCAAATTTCCACCTCCCTCAATCCAACCCTCTCAACCCCCCCCCCCCCCCCCGCAGACTAAGAACTATGTCACGAGTGACATGAGTGCATGCTTCAGGCTTTAGCTCAGCACATAGGTCTCGTGTGCGGCCGGTTTAAACGCGAGGATCGGCAGATAAATATCGACAGGTCTCGGGTCCACAAAACATAATGTTTCCTTCGTTCGCAGTAAATAGGTGTTAAATGTTAATTATCACGCTGCTGCATGTCTGGTCGCAGATCCTGTTTCGTAACTGTGTCTGTATAATAGAAGCACGGAGAAAGTTTTTTGTATGTGTACCATAAATTTACCATTTTATACACATGCAGTCACGTGCATACCAGTGCGTTTCTTTTGGGCTGCTTTCCAGTTACGCGTTTTTCATACGCACGTACACGCACGTAAAAGTCTAAATCCTTATACATGCTACCTTTGAAAAAACGATGTGAATAAATCAAAGGAACTTAGTTTTCCGCATATTTTAGTATGCACTTGTAGACCTGGATGTTAAATAATAAAAATTTAGAAGCATTTCAAATTTTCCGTGCGTGTACGTGCGTATAAAAAACGTGTAAGTGGAAAGCAGCCCTAAGGATGAAATCCGTATGCTCGTCGTAAGATTTCTCTGATACAGAGTTGCAAAAAAGCTGCGGGTACGAGGGTACCACCCGGAGGAAGGTTTGCTTTGAATGAGATTTGTGAACGCTGAACAAAGTTGAACACTCTAATTGATCACATGCATGTAATAAAAAACCAAATATTTCTTTATGCTGGCTGCCACTTGACTCAGTGACGTAACGTCATTTTGAAGGTTTTCAAAACTTGAAATCCTACCGGAGGAAGGTTGAACTCTTTTTGCAACTCTGCTCTGATAGTCACAAGAGAGGAATTGTTTGTTAGAACACAACACTCAGACAATAGCTACGAAAACATGTGTTATTATTAAAAAAGTGCAGGCTTTCACATGAGCATATATAAGCTGATAACATACATCGGTTCAATACGATACAATGACGATTGTGAATTTCAAAATTTCTAAACATTTCTTCTCATAACAAAAAAAGTTAGTAGCTATACTGATTTAAAGCGTTGTGAACGTAAATATTGTTAGATATTCAGACAACACAACGTATTTCAAAAAGTATAAAAGTTCAAAATTTAAACAAACCGTTTGTTTACATACAGACTTGACTTCTACTTGAATTGTTAAGGTGATGAACACATTGATTGTTAAGGTAATCAACCTATAAAACTAAATCCCTAAAATAAAACTTATCTAAACCCCTGATAGCTCAGAGAAAAATTAAACTTCTTCTTATCTTTTGCAATATGTTTACGTTTCGATTACTTTGTCTTCTTCGTCTTGACACGTCCGAAGATCACCATATCACCAGGAATGTACACCTCTTCCAGTTGAAAAACATCCTGGTTCGGAAAAAGAACCTGCGTAATAGCGAATGTTGAAATATCTCTGAAATTGAAATCTAATTTTTCGAGATAATTTCGAAGTTTTGACTCGATTTTTCTTTTGGCACGTCGTAATGAGGTACCACTGTTCCAAAATATATCCCATCCCGACACGGAATCCGAATCAACATTCACCGTCGCTGACTCGCCTGTATACGTAATGGTCTGGGCCTGATCGATATTTGGTTTGTAGTACTTGACGAAGTTCACATCAAAGTTTTTCGTTTTTGTTCTTCGTTCGTTCCAGCATTTATACATAACACGTCCGGCGCATTTTTCTACATAATATGGTATCCTTATTGGCTGGTTTTCTACTTCCCAAGTCACTTTAATCTTCTTTCCTCTATTACTTGATCTAACTTTGAATTTTCTTGCACTAATCGACACGTCAACTTTTCCTGCTTGTGCCCGTAAGCTAAAATGGTACTTCGCGTCGTGAACTCCGACGACATACTTGGATTGCTGACTCTCGGTCATACCTGGGAAATCTTTCGTCTGCACACTAAATGATAATTTTTTCTTTATGTCTTTCACCATGATGTCACCGAAGATGATTCTGTTGTTTATAAATAAAACTACTTCGTAACCATTCGGAATGACCTGTCGGTCGATCGTGATGGGATCGTTGAAATCTCTCGGTGTGTTAACTGTCGCCGAGGAGCTGGTAAAATGTGTGCGGAAGAAAATATAGAGGCTCCCGGTACCTGAACCGTCTGGTTTAAAGCCGCCTAAAAAATTATTGAAATGTTAGTGTCTCGTCTTCTGGCATTTTTTCAAACAGAGGCACCATGCATTTTACCCGACAAACGTCATCATCGGAAAAATCATTGGCAAATTTCTGGCCAACTCAACGAAGAAAAAATGTCTTACGTGATTTTTAGAACTTTCAACAGCAAATCAGAAATTTGCCGACAATTTTTCCGATCATGACGCTAGACGAGTAAATTGCATTCCGCTTCTTTTTAACAAAATTTTGATAAAAATATACTTTTTATTTGCGAAATTTAAGCATTTTTAAGTTGTTTTCAAGTCTAAAAATGACAGATAAATTTGGTAAATATATCCAAGGTGTTTTATATCTAGTTTCTTTTCAGGAAACTAGGTTAATTTTTGTGTTTTAAGCGATGGTATTAATGTATGCATTATAATTCTGGTCAGAAAATTGCCAGCCTTATAGGATAATTATATACATAAGATAGTATGCGGTACCCGCATTGACCGGGCTGCCTATGATCTGATGGTATTGAATTACACCGGCAACGATACACATATTTTGAGATTTCACAGTCATTAACATAAACTGTAGCAGTGCAGAAGTGCAATGCCTGATCAATGCGAAAAAATCGTCAACGTTTTGAGTAAAAAACATAAATTAGCATTGTTAACATCATTCGTTGAAATTATATAGTAAACAGTACTGTTTTTCTTTGAAACTGCATCTCGAACTAACTTTTTTCTTTTATCGCGCATATGGCGGGAAAAGAAAGAGCGGAAACCAATATTAGCGGAGAATTTGAGACTTACGACACACAAGCAAAGAGACTATAAATGTGGGGCGAAAACTCTGAGCCGAAACTGAAACTTTCGTGTTGAGAATGAAACCTCGTCGCCCGATCTATCGCATCGTAGATCTTAATCTCTCCATTTTGGTTATAAAAACATTCTATTCTAGTACCACATCACCTGTAGCCAGGTAGAAACGATCAGGTACAAGGGAACGAGGCGTTAGAGCGTCTTCGTACGTGATTCGAGCAACTTCGAAGTCTCTGGAACTCAAACGTTTGGCGAAGAAGGTTCTAATTTGAGTAGCCAGGTTGAATTCAGTGGAATCACCATTAAATAAGTGAGGAACGATAACAATGGCGGTGGACAAATCTAGGACCACTAATGACTCATTAGTTAATCTTCCTTTTATTTGAGTTAGCCTAACAATAGCAGTTACTGCAGCATTTCTATTTATCGTGTGATTTAAGACATTAAAGGCATTTTCCGGAATTCGTCCCTTTATTCTTTTGAATAAAGTGAATTCAACTTTCCCACTCTTTATCTCGAACGTCAGCGCAACTTCGTTATGATTATGTTCGATAAATTGAATTTTTGGCGGGCCAACCTACAGTGAAAAACAAGAACAGAAAAAAATATGCTGCTTCATGCATGTCACCGGGTTTTAATTTGTAACATTAGGGCAAATTATGCATCTCTTAATATATTTATGGCTCACTTATATCCATGCAAGAAGTTAGTTTAGGTTCTGCTCGAGAACACTTGGAATACTCTGAAAGTAAATCTGTGGGCTGTCATGTAAAATAATTTATTTTATGCAGATATATCTAGAATTTTCAACGCCCCACTGATAGCTATGGGATTCGGCTGACAGGTGTCATTGTTCTCTGTTCTGTATATTTTTCTTAATCTCGTTGAGCACTCTTAGTACACTTATTATAATGAATACTTGGTGGTGATGCAGAGAAATTTAGTCTTGGTACGTACCTCAAGAAAGCATCTTGCATACGTTATCATAAAACCATAATCGGAATCCACTGTCCTCTCTGTTGCTATGCTCTTCACAAATCCAGCTTTAGTTTGATTGTCATATTGTTGTTTCCAAATTTGGTTCACGCGTTCGGCGCTAACTGCCATTATTGCATCCCAATTTCGAACTAATGAGCGACCATTAATTCTTTGGAGAAGATCGTGCTTACTACCAGAAACATCACTTCTACGGATTCTTCTTCGTCGACTGGATAATCGAGGAGGGTCAAAGATTGCGTTGACGTAAAACTTAATTCTTAACGTTGTGAGTTCAGACGAGAAGCGAAGATCTTTATTTGTAGTGACGTTTGGAAGCCGAAAGACCCACTTGTCAAATGGTGTCATTTTAATGAATTTTGAATCGAAATCAGATGATGGTTGCGAAGTGACAATTGCCTCTTTAGTAACTATATTGTAGGTAAAACGGTAACTTTTCGGTGCGGTAGAAAATGATATAGGATTACGTTTTAAGTCTCTGTCTTGGAAGGACTCACCAGAAGCTGTGGCTTCTATGTAGGCTTCGTCGTTTGACACATTCGCGATGTTGTCAGCGCGCACTTCAACTCTCAGAATTCGCACACGAATATAATTCTGAAACTCCACAGAACTCAATTTAATTTCTTTCTCGCAGCCATCAGGGGATAAGAGTTCTTGTACGCGAACCCCAGGGATATTGTACTCGATAGGTCGTTTAACATTTTCGGGTGCGGAAGGAAACCTTTCCAAAATCGTAATACTTGATTGGACTTGTTTCGCAGCGGCTCTTTGGATAGACAAGGTATCGTAGCGTTTGATCACGGTTGGTTTCTGGAAGTAGTAGTATTGTAAGGCAGCGTCCATGAAGCCAAACGATTGAACGAGATGTGTTCGAACCTGGTTCTCTCTCATTTTAATGATAGTTCCAATTTCAAAGAGGTCTGTCGTATTTGCTGCATTGTCTGTGATATCCTTCTGTATCACTGTTGTTTTGAGGGTTCTCAGACGATCACTTTGTCGTTTGGCGAGGTCTCTTTGCATTTCAAGGTTTATTTGTTTGTATTTCATGGCAGCAATATTTGCTGCAATGCTCAAGTATTTTCTGCCTCGTGCTGATAAGCGTTTCGCAACTCGTTGGAAGTCTAGTGCTTCTCTGTGAACCTGATCAGGAAGATAAGACGTATATGACATCACGTCTACATCAAAATCATCCCACTCCAGATCGGTTGGAAAACTGTCCGCATCGACCTCAAAACTCGGTATAATATTTCCCAATATCATTCCTCAACTCTCTTCCGAGACTGTACAGTTTATTAACTTGTTCTATAATGCCTATAGCAATTTCTACTTTCTTTGCCACTCGAACAATTCCTTCAATGTCCTTTGCGATGTTCAGAGCGCCAGCTCCCCCGGTGAATAGGGATCCCACTACGCTGATAACACCAAACCCAGCTGATATGATTTGCTCTGTTTTGCATTTTTCTATTGCCTCTTTTAAGGCAATACCGGCGTCTGTTACTTCCTTTTGTGTGTTAGTAATTTCCGTCCACAGAATCGCTGCCTGTTCTTGCTCACGACTTATTCTATCACTTTCTAGGTCATGCAGTTGTTGATTGGTGCCAGCAATGTCGTCTTGATATTGGGCGCCTACTTCGGTTTTCTGCACAAGGAATGAGCCAATTCTTTTGACGTTGTCGTTCAGTTCTTTCATTGTCTGTGTAGTTGTTTCGCGGGACTTGTGATAAAATATTTCTGTCGAGATAGTTTGAAAGATATTCTCGTACGCGGAAACTTCGGCTAGCAGTTTATCGTAAAGTGGCTTATACATTGAAAAAGTCAATTTAGGCACAAGCTGTCTAGACTGAGCATACTTATTTAATCTTGTCTTGCTTATCAATAGAGCCCTCGCCAATGCCATCTCCAAATCAGTGGGTAACTGAGTAGTGCTGTTCGGTTTTTTCATTGTGAGAAAATCGGTCATCCACTTTAAGCATTTTCTAGCTGTGTTCACAGAGTCGGCGGCGTATGAACGAAGAGTGAGAATGCTTTCAATCGTCGTTACTGATAGCTGAACACTGCTAACCAGACCGTCTTGTAACCACTTCATTTCGTATAACGTATTTTCGGAAAAATATAACTCTGGCAGACTAATCCGATCAGGTTTGTAAAGCCTCTTGCTGTTATCTGTGCTGACGCTATATTGTCCGGAATGAGATGGGTGTTTTGATGTTTTATAAACCTCGTCGTTTGCATATGTGAAGTGTTCATTTGTTTTAGCTTGGGTGACTTTGAAAACTCCGCGCATGGTTTTTGCCACAATCTTGAGCGTCGGTACAGAATTGTCATAAGCACCGACGATTATTTCCGGGGCGATATTGTTAGATGATAGTGCAACCATCTCTCGACAGATAAGGTAAATTTTTTGAGATCCTGGTAGCTTTATCTTTGAGGCGCGAAGTTTTAGAACATCGGCGAAGATGAAAACGTGTGTTACAAAGGTTGGATTGGATACGAAAAAGTCGTTCAATACAAATGACATTCGCGTTATTGTGACATAGTTTGTTGCCGTTGAGGTGACGAGACTGGGATTAAAACTGTCGTAAAAGTCTTCAATTCCAGAATCAATAATGGTTGAAAAGTTAGGTTGACTTTCTGGGCCAAACTTTTGGAAAACTGTCGCCGATAATACGTCGTTCCATACTTTTTGTAATTTCGAATCACCTGGCAGTAGTTTAGTGACCAAGGGTTTGAAATAGAGTTTTATCGGGATAATAGTTGTTAATTTCCTCGGGAGCAAGTATCCTCCATATTGAGCCACAAACATAAAGATACTTTGGGGAACTCTGAAGACATCATCTCGGAGCTGTGATGCGATATTTAGCCAAGCAGGATCATTGCTAGCTGTTAGAACTTTACCTGCTTCAAGACAAAATCCTTTACCACGTTCTGTTTTTAGTTCAGTGTACATGCGATAGTAATGTCCCCAAAGACCAAAACCATAATTTGGATTATTGAAGGGAAATTTTAAGACTCTTTCTGCGTCGTTTTTATCGTAAACAAATACTTGATAGATGAGGTCTCCCATCTGGTAACCGGATACGTAATGAGTGCCGTACTCTGAAAACGTATCAAGTATCTTATTGCCGCCAGAATTCAGGACAGTATTTGTTAGTGGCGATGTTGGGACGTCAACAGCCATGGTTGTGTTCAGTACTTTCCAGTATCGAGCCAGCACATACACTTTTCCCATCAGGTTTTCTGGAGATATTCCCAGAAGACTGGAATGTTCGCTTTTCATGTTGGTTTCCCCGTTGACATTTTGTTGAAGGGTCAACGGTCCCGCATAACGCTTTTCTTCCGCAAAGTTCCACATAGAGAAGAAAACTTTTATCAAGTCATTTTCGTCTGCGTGGTAGGTTAACTGAATGAAATAACCGAAATGGGAATATGAGCTCTGGACAGTCTTTGTTTGGACATTTTGAAACAGGTTAGAACTGTCTACGGGGTAAAATGTTTGGTTAAAGCTGTTAGCATTCGGAAGCACTGGTTTTAGACCATCTAGAATGCTGAAAGACTTGCCAACTTCGAAAGCTGTGGGAAAGAACAAAAATAAATGTGTCAATTTCAAAAAAATTGTTTAAATGTATAAGTTAATCATTACAAAATTCTGGCGACATTTGACGTTTAACATAAATCGATTGCAATATTTCCATTAATTTTAGAAATATCCGGCTTGAATAGTAGCTCTCGAAACAAAAGCAACGACACATGCAGTTTCTTGGAAACATCCAAACTTATAGTTAAATAAAGTAATGAACTTGGCATGTGATAAAATAAACGAAGTCGCGAAGAATAATGCGCTCAACACAAAGAATTGTCACAAAGAACTCGTCATGCATGATTAGGATTTAATATAAGTGCTAGATAATGATGTAATATGATAAAAAACGTGGTTTCTCCGAATTTAAAAAATAGACACTCAGTTAGGGGCTGTTTACATGAGCCCGGTTACCCGAGATTCAATGAAGCGTGAGAGGACTTTGAGGTATTGAAATAAGTCTTTATGACCCCAAACAAGCACATGATATTGTTATGGTGATTATACGACTGCCAGGATCATGTCATCTGTTCATTTCAATACCTCAAAAACATCTCACGCTTCGTTGAATCTCGGGTAACCGGGCTCATGTAAACAGCCCCTTAGTGATCGAGTGTTTTCTCAACCCTTCCCAGACATTAGACAATATTTTTGGTGTTTTGCCGATCTTGTTATTTACTGAACTTGTCTGTTACCTTGATAAGCATGAATGATTGTCCACAAAACCACAAGAATTCTTAAAAGCATTGTCAGTTCAAATGCTGCGACAGTCCTTCAGCAAATTAAATTCGTAGGCTGCAAAAAATTTTAAATTGCAGTAAATGAATGGTTGCATGATAAGCATCACCATGGAGAAATTCAGGACATTAATTATCATAATGCCATGCAGGATTTCGCAATCAAAGATGGCTGCCTCGTTATAATAGAATTATATAAGGCACGCAGTGAACTGTAATAAATAACTATTATTTAATTAATGTTAATTAGTTAATTAATGTTAATTTATTAATGTTTATTAATTAATTAATGTTATATTCATTCCACTGAACACACGAGACAAAATTTGAAATTAAAGCAACTTCCATCTTAAGCCCTGGTCAAACGAGAATGATAGTTGATGAGAGTTGACTGACCTGAACAGGGGTCCGCCTTATCCCCTGTTATCTATAGGTCCGCCTGTTCCTCTAGAAAAACCTATAGTTTTTGCATGCTCTGTCAGGTTTTGAGTGCTCTCACTGTTTCAGTATAACTAATGGTGGTCCCTAGATCATCAGGTCTCAACTCACTGAACAACATGCACAGAGCTGGCTCACACCCTCTGCAACTTAGAGGTCCTCCTGTTCCTCTAGGAAAAACTTAGGTTAATTAGAGCCTCTAGACCTTTTTTCGAGCGCTTCCTGCCCAAATTATATGCCACAAAAATGTCTCAGTGTGTTGTTCCTTTGCTAAGTTGCCAGACGTTCAAAATCCTTATAAAGAATCTCAACATATAAACTACATTAACTCGTGCCTAATACAATTCAATTATAACAAGGCAGCAGTCTTTGATTGCGAAATCCTGGCATAATTGACTTTTATGATAATTAATGTCCCGAATTTCTGGTTATGGACTGCTCATTCAACTAATTTTATGTATCTATAAAATTGTACAGTTTATTAACAATATATGAGCACATGCACTGCCGAGCGCGTGCGACCATTTAGGTTTTTTGCGCATTGTGGATTCGAAATATCGTGGATATCGGAAAATTAATGAAAATCAAACGAGTTAAGAGACAATTAGTGATTGATTGTGATGATCATGCAAGGCTCAAAGTTTGGCTACGAATCTTGGCAAACAAAGCGAATTTCTTGTTTAAAAAAACTAAAAAGCTTCTGCGGCATTTGACACAACCTGTCAAATTCATTGTGATTTATAACACCAAAAAGATTTCATCGATTTCAAGATCTCTATATATTTAGTTCGAGCTTTGAAAAAGTCACTATCCAGTGGATAACCTTAATTCAAGCACTATATAACTATAACTATATAACTATAAACTATATATATGGTGCACACTGAGTGTAGAGTGCACTACGCATAGTTTAAACTCACTGGCGGGCAGTTACCAATGAGGTTCACCTCCTTTCGACAGAAATATGGACCGTAAGGGCATGTAACTACATGCGCATCACATGTGGTTCACATGTAGATTCCCTATAACCATGTGTATTCACATGTGAATCACATATGATCACATGTGAACCACATATGATATCACATGTGAAACACATATGGTTTGCATGTGTTTAGGCTTCTAGGCTTTGGTGAAACTTTGGTCGCTCTTTCATGTCCGAACCTGATGCAAATGAATTAAAATTTTCAGTTCTTGTTTATTTTAAACAGCTGCATGGAGCACACTTGATGGGAAAAATATTGGAGTGAGCTGCCATGCTGCTCTGAGCCTAACAGGACTGGTACAAGTAAAGATCTTCCTTAGCGGTACCAGTTTCGGCCAAGACCGTCGCTTGACAGTTTAATCGGGTCATTGGGAGACTGTGTATTCATATTTCGTGTTAAATATAAGTTAAAACAATCCTTTTCAAAAGAAATTTTTCGGGCATAGGACGAAACAACACCACGGGAAACCACTAACGGGAAAGGCAATCATCAAGTCGCATTTCAAATATAACACATGTCATGTATGTTCACAAATCAGCTAATGAACATCAATCATACAGTGTCCGGCAATGAACGCGCATCACTACTCATTAAAGCGACGCCAGGTAAGTATAACTAAAAAAGTTGGGCTATGCAAAAGTAAACCAGTTTATTTACGAAACCTTTCTGTCAAAACCTCTCTTGGATATTTGAATCAAAACATAAAATGAATTTGGACCAAAAGATTTAGTTCACTTTCGGGACAATTAGTTTTTCTAAAATCCTACCTGAGTTTGATGAGGAACTTCTGCAGGACTTTGTCTTAGTTCTTCGTTTTTAATGTTGCTCCGTCTTTGTATGTTGCAAATGTTTAACTAGTAGCTAGCGCGCAAGATATCAGCGGCTTTTATGTGCACGGAGCATGAAATTAAATCGACAAAAACAGGAAGTTCACCCACAATGTTATCTGATATTGGGAGGATTTATTAACACCATTGATTTCTTCTGTAACAAGTAACTGGGCAGGGGTCGCGGAAGATCTTTATGTGCATGGGGCGGGCTAATATCCATATATTCACCTTTAGCATTATTAGTTTCTTTTCAATTTGTTTTCTTTTCACGAGTATAATATGAATATTAGCCTCCCCCACTTAATTAAGGATCTTTCGTGGACCCATGCATGGCTTAATATTGGTCTTACTATGTCTAAATCAAGTACGTTTTGTATCGCATTGTGAATCAGTGTGGCAGGTGAAAAAATCCATTAACACCAAATGGCCATCATAAACTAAAATTCGAAATGTGTGAAATCTTGCATGATATCATCAAGTATATACAAGAGACCAAGTAGTATAATTTGCTTTTGGAATTCATCGTTGATCTTAAGACTTTGGTCTTCGTGTAAGAGAAGCGTTTGAGACTACACGGGTATTTGACAAACGCTGCTTCGTGTTTAATTACACTCGTTCGAATTGCTACTAATCGCTGTAGCCGCCTTGAGCCAACACTATGCATATGTTAGATTTTGAATTACGGATGAAATTAATCCCTATTTTCTCTTCCCTGGGCATGCACACTTATCCTATTGTGCGCATTACGAAATAAATAGCAACAGGCATTAGATAAAGTCAGGAGCCATGCCTAGCGTAAAATAAATCAAATTCATAAAACTGACTGAAAGAGAGGTGGATTAACCTTAGATATACTAACATTTTAACAGGTCTTTAAACTAAACCATATAATTTGCATATTTGTTAAAATATCCTTCAATTGTTGCATTGTGAATTCCGCAAAATTTGAGAACATTATCGAGTATTTACAATTTGCCTTGGTTGTTTCTTGTAAATCAAGGCATATCGAAGTTACTGAGGTAATCAGTTTTGCCCCTGTAGGTTAATTTATATCAACTATAGAAACGTTTTCTACGGAATTCAACGTGAGCAAAATTTGGAATAAGGAATGAGGAGTTTTCGTAGTTTTAGCTCGCTATATTGACCAATATAGCTAGCTAGTGACTAAAGGTCCTATCATTTTCGGCAGTCAGTTTTAAAAAATTCCAAAATATATCTGCACTAAATTAAATAGGTATATTAGATTATAGATATATATACAGCGCATTACCACACATTATATATATATAAGCGCCCTGTTAACTTGTGATCTTAAAATCCACGATGCAAAAGCAGATTTTCACTGATTTGGCCATGCAGTCAGGTAATAAAATCGGTACAGTTAAAAAATTTTACCATATTTTCTCGCACAGGTTATAGTTCTTTTAAATCTTACCTGTTTGTTTTGATTTTGAACTTCAACTGCAGACCGTTGCTTCTTCAAATTTCTTCCTCAAGCTTGTGATAGCTAATATATAGTTGATCGTTTTACACCAGGCCGGCCGTCTTTGCAAATGCACGCAGTGTTAGTGTGAGACTGTCTGTCCAGTGCAAATGATCACCAACTTATAGGTGGGGGTAACGAATGAACTTTACAAGGAAACAGGAAGTTCAATTACCAAGCAGAAGTCGGGTGATATAGTGGCTTGCGGATGAATTGTCAAAGCCGACTAGTGCATGGGAGATTACCGAAATATATATTTACATATTGATGCAAATATGTATCATCATTGATAATTCTCGAAGTGCGAGTTGTAAAATGTTTATCAAATACAAGGAAAACGACTCTAATTTCTTGTTGAGAGTAACAGAACGCTAATGAAATGACACCGCAGAAATTAGTGCTTCGAGAATTTTAACTCGAGAAACTCACTGCATGGTTCACTGATCTCAATCAAAATATTACTGAATAAGTTACAACAAGTTCAAATTCGACCAGCCGATAATTTAAGAAAGTACAGTAAAAAACAAATGCCGAATAAACAGAATATTTAGAGAGTCAAAATACGAGTCAAACAAGCATGTACAAACTGACCTGACGAAGGTCCTCAGGTCGAAACGTCCAGAACTGTTATTGTTGTCTATTTTTGGCGTTGTTATACCACAATACACAGGTTGAGATTGTAAATTTTTTACTTTATTTCAAAGTCATCTTCAGACAGAATGACATTGCAATTGCATGCTTTCACTTTAAGTTCAAATTTCCTTCTCGGAAAGTACTTTGAAATCTCTTGACAGATCATAAAACTCAAACAGCTATGAAGGCCATTCTCAGACATGCGTATATGTACGTAATGTTATATATTCCATTAGACATGTGAGACATGAGTATATGCATTTAAGGTTATAAAATTATATTGTATAATGTCTATAATATTAGGTCAAAAAAATTATTATAATTTACACGATTTTTCTTAACGATGTGCAAGCTTCAAGTCTTCAGCGCAAAAGTATTTCGTTCGCATTCATAAATATTTTTTCTCGCACTGTAAAAACTGATATAGGTTAAAATAACCAAAAAAAATAGTTTGTTTGGACAAGAACGCACGAAGAATTTCTTTGTTTTTCATCTCGCAATGGATCATCGGTAACGTCGGTCCATTACGGGCGAGTGTCGGAGAGTGATGTACGCTGAAAATTCTTCTCAGCCAATTCCTGTGCTCAATTTAATCGAAAGTGACGCTTGCCATATAATAAATGCCTTATAATACTAGGCTTTTCGATCTAATACAAACAAAAGTTGGGTTACACTCCCCCCCAGACCCTATATATGACCCCGAATGCATACCGATATTTCATCTGAATGCTATTTGAACGATTAACCATTTTGAAAACTGCGCAATCGTTTCTTAGCTTGGTCATCTAGGGCGGGTTGCTTAAAGCTTGATATATACATAAATCCAATTAATAGGTCAATGAACCACTGTGTCTGTGGACACGTTTTTCCCGTAAGATTTTTACTTAACCATGTAAACATCGGTCGAAAATTTTCATCAGTAGATTTCGGCAGATCTTATTTTGGCTGACCGCTGCATGCATGTTTTTAAAAAAGCGGCTTCCTTTAATAATTGTGCTTTATTTTATAACCACGCGCAGTCTTCTACTGTATACACTTATAAGTGTACGATAAGCGTGGCTTTGGGTACTTCTGCTTCTAGTGTACTTCATAAACAATATCAAATTAAACACTTTATGGCAACCAATATCACACACTTTAAATGGCGCCAAATTCATTACGCGCTACTATATAGAACTATATAACAGAAGATAATATATATATTAGGCTCACTAACCAGATTTTCTTTCATCAGCCGATCTCAGCGATGGAAGCATGCATGTATCAATATATCGAAATATTTTCTTTTCAAAATCACCGTTTGGATATACGAATTGTATTTGACACCATCCTTAATTGGTATTTAAAGTCAGTAAAAAGTCATAAACAATAATTGTTTAAACTAAGCCGAACAAAGGAAGCTTTGTGAAAACCAAAAGCATATTGCCTTCGTTTGGATATTGTCTGTGTAATCTCTGCTAAGATTTTGTATGTATATATAATTCATCCTGTAACATAAACCGGAATTGCTGCCGAAATTATTGAAATGGCTGAATCTTCTCTTTCAAGCCGTAATCAAAATCTTTCTTTCTTTTCAAGCTTGGCCTGGTTCAAACGTCGCGTTATAACTATTCATGCACGCCAAACGGGATCAGCAACAAAAGATAAGTGACTGAGTTGTCTCATCATTTATTGTTCAGTCATAAATGCGATGAAAACATGTGGGAACGACGTTTTATTCTCGAGAGTGCAGGAAACAGCGCGTATGACGCTTTTGTTTGGAATTTGAATGCATGCATGATTACAACAGCATGCACTGGGGCCTGTAGTACTATAGCTTTCAACTGTAGTTAGGGACAGAATTAGCCAACCAGAGTTGTGTATTTCGGACTTCGGAGCTAACTATAGGAGTTTTATACAACCGCTCCTGTGCATTGATCGATTTCAACAGAAGCTTCATTTCACTGATACGGGGTAGTTTTCATATACATGCATGCACCCTGTATATTGAATTCTAAGGACAATTTCAATTGTTTGCACCTTTTTACGATGAATACAAAAGTGTGTTCTTCTGTGGATTATAAAAAGAATGGTTAAATTTTAAGATCATATCATCAGCTTGATAAAAGAAATTGTTCAACTTACCATAGAACAAAGAGTTATTGTCGCGCTCAATCACGGGCTCAATTAAGCCTGGTTTTTATTTCATCGTAATTGGAAGTTGTAATTTTTCAAATTTCTCTTTATTTCTGTTTGCGAGGAACTAAACAACAATTAAAATTTATTACTCAAGTTTGGTTACAACTGTATTTCTAGCTAGTTCGACTATATCTTTAGAAGAAGACTTATTTAAATATTAGATAGCAGTTTTAGAACCCTTAATAATTTTTGAAAATATAGACCGGCTATGCTTATACACGTTAAATCCGAATTAGAATCCGGAAGACTTTCCGATCTCATGAAGTCGTAGACCCGGAGTTATTATTGCAGTGGACCATATTAATCGTCACTCGCTCTATTATGATGCTAGCACTTTTAATTCATACACTTCCTGAGGTTCGCAACAGGTTGGAAGTATGTTGGAGGCGAGTAATCTTGCATCGTGAAATCTTTGAATGACGAAAGGTCAGCGCCATACCAAGGTTTGCGGGCAAAGCATGTTATCGGAGAATTTTGCTACATTTTATAAAGTCTTTCTTCTCCTATCCAACGACAGGGAGCGCAGGATTGATCCTTGCACGAACGTTTCTTGACATTTTATTTATGCTCGAGTTGTGCCCCACTGCATGTAGTGTACTGCGTTCATGCATCCATCGCACCAACAAGTAATTTTATATAATTATAGTTTTGTAACTACACTTGAATATACGATACAAGTACAGCGTATATAAATGGAATTAAGTGATCCCACGTTTTTATTCCTTGGCATTTGGTTGGTTATCATGTTTAAAGATGATGTCCAGTCGTATTTTAACCAATGTTGCAACATTCAAAAGCTTCCAAGCAATAACATTCATAACACGCGCTTGTGCAATTTCGTGATTTATAGAGCAATTTGTAGAAGCAGTAGCAGTCATCATACACATGGTACACTTAGGCCTCGTTCACACGCTACCGGATTGCTATATAGGGACAGGTCAAATTTCGTAAGTAATACAAGGTAGTGTGAAGATTTTTAGCGTCCAAGACCTGAATGAGATCTATCAAAGTAAAAAGCATTTGCTACCAACCGTTGCCTCATAACGACAAACGAAGATGTTATCACCAGCGAATCCGGTACCGTGTGAACAGAGCCTTAATCAGGTGTACGCCATACAATTATGATTGAAAAAATATTATAGTTAATATTACGAAAGAGGCATTATAATTATGCACTTGTTTTGCACCAGCTCCTGTTGAAATTGCGTCGCAGATTTATCAGAATTTCAGCTTCACTATAATTAAGATAGCAATGCAATACTCAGTATAAACCGTCTCGAAAGAATCTGTGAAAGAATGTAACATTAAAGAGGCCGTGGCGGTGGCACTGATCTCATCATACACTTAATTAATGGATAGAAACGAAGCCGGAAATACCGAACTTCCGAAGAGCCAGAACACCGCAGAGCGTCGCTATATTAATACACGACTCTGAAAGCTCTCACTCACTCATCGCAAAAACTCGCTAGCTCACTGCGAGTAATTTTGTCCAACTACCATGCTTGACATGCAGCTTATGTTAATTCGATGCAAACACTCGCAGCGAGTTTGCGAGTTGGCATAGCTTTGCGATGAATGGAAAGAGCCTTAACTTACTGATAGACATAGGACCGGCCCGATGTAAAGTGAATCTCTAACTATTGAAATACGTGCATAGTTACTCAGGAAGACCCTTCCAGGAGTTCCAGTGGTCTTTAATTCTGGCATTGTTTTTGATAGTCATAGCATTTTTTATTACAGTGACCTTGTTAAAAAAGATTATATTAACCTCCAGACCTTGAATTAGGTCTTACTGCAGTTTAGCTTACTATATGTTGTGTGTTTGTAATGGTTAAAATTTTGTAGTATTTCCAATATGCAGTATACAACAGTTAAGAAATGCCTGAAAAATCTTCGTGATTGTGGGGTATAATTTATTGTATGAATTATTGCATGAACTACGATTGTATATAAACTATACCCTATAATGACGACGATTTTTTAGGCAGTTGTTAATTGTTGTATACCATATTAATTTGATTGGGGTCTTTTTATGATAGGGGTCTGAATTTTCGTCATTCAAATATTTTACGATGCAAGATTACTCGCCTCAAACAAACTTCCCACCTGTTGCGAACCTCAGTAAGTGTATGAATTAAAAGTGCTAGCATTAAAATAGAGCGAGTGCTTGACGATTAATATGTTCAATGCAATGATAACTCCGGTTCTACGACTTCATGAGATCGGAAAGTCTTCGGACTCTAATTCGGACCATGCATCTAAAAATGCTTTCCAAACGATATATCTCGCCACAACATGAACATGCTTATGTTTTAATATTTGAATACGTCTTCTTAGAGACGGCTTTGTGTAATTTGTTATTTCGTTGGCCAGCATGCATATATATTTAAGCGTCTGTGTATATAATGGCGAAGTGGCTTCTCGTAATTGTTTTTGCTTTGTTGCTTTGCGATAATTTCGATCGTGTATGGTCATGATTAATGCACAGGGGCCGGTTGTATAAAACCCTTAGTGTAACTGGTCAACTCCGAAATTCACGACTCTGCTATCAGCTAACTCTGCCCCTACTGAACTACAGTTGAAAGCAAACTAAGTTAAAAAGAGACACCAGTGCTGTTGTAATCATGCATTCAAATTCCCAACGAAGGCGTCATTTCAAAGCGTATATGATTGAACAATAGATCATGAATGAGACAACTCAGTCACTCATCTTTTGTAGTTAATCCCGTTTGGCGTGCATGAATATTTATAGCGCGACGTTTGACCCAGGCCAAGCTCTCAACAATAGAAGAAGGAAAGTAGGATTTTGATTACGGCTTGAAAGAGAAGATTCAGCCATTTCTAAATGATTTCGACAGCAATTCCGGGTTATGTTACAGGATGAGTTATATATACAAACAAAATCTTGGCAGAGATTACACAGACAATATCCAAACGAAGGCAGTATGCTTTTGGGTTCGTTCGACAAAGCTTCCTTTGTTCGGCTTAGTTTAAACAATTATTGTTTATGACTTTTTACTTTAAATACCAATTCAAGATGGTGTCAAGTACAATTCGTATATCCAAACTGTGATTTTGAAATGAAAATACTGCTTTCGATGTATTCCTACATGCATGCTTCGACCGCTAAGATCGGCTGATGAAAGAAAATCTGGGTAAGTGAGCCTAATATATATATAGTATATTATTATGTCATCTATATAACAGCCCGTGATGAATTTGGCACCATTTGAGGTGTGTGATATTGGTTGCCATAAAGTGTTTAATTTGATATTGTTTATGAAGTATACAAGAAGCAAAAGTACCCGAAGCCACGCTTACCGTACACTTATAAGTGTATGCAGTAGAAGACTGCGCGTGCATGTTACAAAATAAAACACAATTATCATTCGAAGCCGGTTTTTTAAACATGAAGCAGTCAGCATAAATAAGATCACCCGAAATCTACTGATGAAAATATTCGACCGATGTTTACATAGTTAGTTAAAAATCTTGGGGAAAACGTGTCCACAGATAAAGTGGTTCATGTAAAGGGTTGACGCGTACGTTATAAACAACAAACCTATTAACTCTGATATATGTATAAATCAAGCTTTAAGCAACCCGCCCTAGATGAGCAACTAAGAAATGACTGCGCAGTTTTCAAAATTGTTAATTGTTCAAATAGCGTTCAGATGAAATATCGGTTAATTCCGAAATTCACGACTCTGCTATCAGCTAATTAACTCTGTCCCTAACTACAGTTGAAAGCTAACCAGTGTACAACAGCTAGGCCCCAGTGCTGTTGTAATTATCATTCAAATTCCAAACAAAAGCGTCATACGCGTGTTTGCTGCACCCTCGCCAGGAACAAACGTCGTTCCCACATGCTTTCTACCCGGAACATGTCGCAGCTCTCGGAAGCTTTCGTCCAAATGGGTAATGCGTTTCTATGCTTTTTAAAGAACGAAGCTATGCTATTGGTTGAAACAGAAATTTATTGTAAAGTTCAGCCAATGAAAATCATTCTTGCGAGAAGCTGCGACACTACCCATGCTTTCAACGCATTTATGACTGAACAATAAATGATGAGACAACTCAGTCACTCATCTTTTGTTGTTCTTCCTGTTTTGCGTGCATGAATAGTTATACCGCGACGTTTGACCCATGCCAAGCTCTCGATAATGGAAGATGGAAAGATTTTCATTACGGCTTCGTAGCGTCTGCTAATAAATTCGCGTCAAGTTTGGTACATGAAAAAACCAAGGCATCTATATTTAAGACTGTGCTTTGACCAAATTTGATCAGATGTATAAGCATGCATGTACATAAGTTTAATTAAACTGACTGAAGAATAGATAACTATGTAGAAAGATATATATTCTATATCTAGAAATATTGATATTCTATATTTAGATATGAAGAAATATCTACATTCTATGTATATATAAAAATATAAAATAATATGGCTAGAAGACTATTTCTGTTGTCGGATTTTTTTCATGCATGTTTTTTGCAATTGTACATCTTGTATCGGAGGTGAGAGACAGGGAAACTAGAATTAACCCAGAGAAACTCTACAATTAACCATATCCAGGAAAAACTGAAAGATTCAGTCGTAGTCCACTTGTATATGCAATTAATAGATATAATAGTAGGTTAAATTTGTAAATATTACGAACTCATTTTCTACTTCCTAGAATAAGTTGATTTGTGTACTTCCTAAAATTAGGTTTATTAATATTTTGATGATCACTCGATTGTATATATACATAAATGTATATCTTAATAGTTATTTTTATTAGTATAATGTTTTATACTTTTTAACATTAATGCATAACTCTTAAAAAGTGTAAACACATCAATAATTTAGCGTGACTGCTTTTAATGTTTAAGCGTAACTGCTATTATTAACCGCTTATACCATACCATTTACCAGCAAGGGGGTTCCTGCTTCTACAAAACTTCTTTGTGCATCAAAATCAGGATTAATTTCCTTTTCGAACTTTATTTTATCTGGCGAACACGAACTTGTGTACATCTGCTTCTATGCAGGAGAATAGAGCGAGTTGGGTTATAATTGGAGATATATTGTTTATAATTGTTTATAATTAAACATTCGACAAATCTTCGAATATACCATTTCATGATTGAACCAAATATTTTTCCCAGAACGGCATTAATATAACGTTCAATGTTTATTTCAGAGTCCTACTATGGCAGCATAATTAATTTCCTGTTGCTCAATTCAAGCAAAATAAGTTATCAACAATTTCGAGCTGACTATATCGTATATCCTAAACTCCCTATTATTTCATTGTAGGCACAGCGCAAATTGGTTTACATTCATGAATAAAGAATCGCGGAATAAAAGGCCCTCGACTGATATGAATACTCACTTCTTTGCATGGTAAGCAAAAAGATTTATAAAAGCTCAGCAAAATAATTATGAACAACAGCAGGAACAATACCCAACAACAGGAAAATGAACAATATTCATTGTTTGTTTTATTATTTTAATTAAAGTTCACATTTCATTTGCCATCGTGAAAATTGGTTTGCATTCATATAGACTTTCGCCGCAATTTGTTATTTGTAAATGCCGAGCAAAATGCGTTTTGCATTGAAGATTTGAAGCTTGCACAGGGTTAAGAAAAATCGTGTAAACTTATTATAACCTTATACATGCAGTGTACATGCAGTGCACATGAGCTGTCAGCTCAAATGGTTTTATGAGCTCTCAAGTGCTTTCAAAGTACTTTGCGAAAGGAAATTTGAACTTAAAGTAAAAGCAATGTCATTCTCTCCGAAGATGACTTTGAAATATAGTCGAAAATTTACAGTCTCAAGCCTGTGTCTTGATTTCAAACGTATAGGCCTATAAAATAGACAAAAACACATCTCGACGTTTCGATCTGAGGGCTTTCTTAATCAGCTAGGGGAGTATTCTCGTTTGATTCATATTTTGACTCTCAAGATGTCCTGTTTATTCTGAATATGTTTTTACTTTACTTTTTAAATTGTCGGTTGCAGTATTTTAATTGAGATCAAAACAGAAATGCACAAATGTAAACCCGTGAGTTTCTCGAGTAAAATTTTCGAAGCGCCTTATCACTCTGAACAAGAAATTACAGTGTTTTCCTAGTATTTGATAAACATTTCGCAACTCGCACTTCGAGAATTAGCAATGATAATCATATATTTGCTAGTCGGCGTTGACAATTATTTTGCAAGGTAACATCACCTGACTTTTGCTTGGAAGATGAACTTCCTGTTTGTTTGTAAATTTCATTCGTTATCCCCACCAATATAAGTTGGTGATCATTTGCACTTCTTAAACAATCGTACACTAACATCGTGAAAAGACGAATTGGTAAAAAACGATCAACTATATCACAAGCTTCGAGAAAGAAATTTGAAGTAACAACGGTCTGCAATTTAAAGTTCGAAGTCAAAACGAACAGGTAAGATTTTAAAAGAACTATAACTCACTGTGCGAGAAAACACGATAAAATATTTTGACAGTACCGATTGTATTATCTGACTGCATGGTCAAATCAGTGAAAATCTGTTTTTGCATGGTGGATTTTAAGAGAAGATTTGGCAAAATGACAAGAAAATACGCTTTCTAATTAATGACTTCTACTGATTTAGAGTTAGTGTGTGGTAATGCGCTCTATATATACCTAAGCTAATATACCTATCTAATTTACTGCAGATGTATTTTAGATTTTTTTAAAACTGCCTGCCGAAAATGATAGGATCTAATTTACTGCATGGGCCGGTTGTATCAAGCCGGTTTAGCTTAAACGGTGGATAAGTTCAAAATAGAAAGCAAGTCTGCCGTTTTATTCAACAAGCGAACTAAATGTTTTTAACCTCAATACAAAGATACTGTTTACAACTACATATTCAGTGCATAATATTCATGTTGACTCATTCACGAGAGATGTAAGAGTGTTATTTAATTTTGACTTATTCACCTTTAAAGCTAAGCGGGCTTGATACAACCGGCCCCAGATGTATTTTGGATTTTTTTAAAACTGCATGCCGAAAACGATAGGACCCTTATTCACTATAGCTACATTGGTCAACAAAGCGAAAAATACGAAAACTCGTCATTCCATACAATTTCCAAAGCTTTAATGTCAAAATGTCTCCCAAACCTTGTCGAGATGTTTTAAAATTTAAACCCTTCATGCTATTTTTCCCTGACGTAATGACTGCACGATGTTAGGCGGACTTCCTGTTTAATAATGACCCTTGATTTGTAACATCCCCATTGCAACACTGTGTCGTGTTATTAATTGCTGTAACAGTTATTATTATGCATTACTAATGCAATCTCGATTGTGATTGGCTAAAAACCTACAGATTATTCTCAATATCTTGCCACCTACCCGACATTGAAAATTAACCGTAGGTGACGTAATTTTTTGTCGCTAGTTTGTTGTCAATAATTACATTGGCTTCCTCTCTAAAAAGGGAGTACATAACAAAACAATTTTTGAGTTCGGTTTTCGCATGATATCGAGAATTATCAAGCCTCAGTTTGCGTTATCCGCCTCAGCTTCGCTTCGGCGAATAACGCAAACTTCGGCTGGTTAATTCTCGATATCACACTCAACCCAATAATTGTTAATTATTCAGTTACACTTTGTGCGTATTGTCGTTCCTGACTTTCTAAACCATGGTGTATTCTCATCAAACTTAATGTAAAGGAACTCGAACCTGAAGGAGCACGAAAATAAAAACATTGGCTCATATATTATATACAGATTTGCTTGTCTCGATAAACTTCATGTAATCGTCTCATACGTATACGTTTTTGCATGATATCTTTAAATGTATAGTATAATAAAAAAGTTATTGGATTCCGCTTATGCATAATGTCAAGAATTATTTAGACCTCGGTCAATGCTCATGACCTCATATATTTTTACTATCCCAGTAATGACCATATCTAAGAAGGGGAACTGAACGGTTTTTGGCCGGCGTTGCATGGTCCTGAGTAAACATACAATTCTTCCGGGTTGATTCTGCATGAAAAAGTCCCGAAATTCTAGGGAGTTTCATGTTCCGGAACGATTTATAATATCAAATATAGTGAATCGTCGTGATTTTCAAATCGTGTCTTCCGAGAATTGAAATCGTGATTCTCAGTTTGTCAAATTTTCATAATTATTCTGTTTTACCATTTTCATTTTCTGTAGACTTCAAACATTTATTCCGAATCTTTATTGTCGCCTATTAGAATAAATTACTGTGAGATATGTTTTATACGACTTCCTCTTAAAAATAACTTCTTCAAACTTCATTCAACAGAACATGTTCCTATTACTTTTAGAGATTCAAAATGCGTCTAAAGATGTTTGTTTTAACTACCGTTTTGTTACCGATGGTAATATCAACGAGAGATGTTAAAACTCGGAAGAAACGATCAGTAAATTCCTACGCCGTTAAAGGATGCTATTCCTCATTTCCCGGCGCAGGTCCGACAAGACGGATGGGGGGTCACAACTCCAACGTAAAGTGTCAAGAAACGTGCAGAGATAAGGGTTATGTATTGACGGCGACGAAGGGGGACCAATGTCAGTGTGGAGATGTTTATCCCACAGGGAATAAAGTAAACGACAGTCAATGCACCAGCAGATGTCGATCGTGGTCGTCCTGTCATGGACCTCAAAGCTGCTGCGGTGGACCCAGTGCTTATTCTGTGAGCGTCGTTGGCGACATTGATGTCGCGAAACAAATACTTCGTAGACTAAGTCACGAGTGGCAGACAAACGCTGGATACAGGAATTACATGAAATCCCTTCTTAAACCAATTGTGGGAAGCCACAACGCAAACTGGTGGAAATCGTTCGACCGTAAAGGCTGGTCACTGTGTGGACATGGTAGGTACATGGCGGGGATGTATAGAAACAGAAAGCATGAAAAGGATCCGATTTACCTCCTCGAAGAAGCAAAGTGTGTAGACGCACCTGGCTACCTGTATTCATCACCAGCCGATCAGGTTTGCTACAACCACAACTGGTGGAAAAGTTTCGATCGCAAAGGTTGGTCTACCTGCGATAACGGCAGCTACATGACCGGGCTCTTTAGAACGTCGGGAAATGACTTATACAATATCGAACAGGCCAAATGCTGCCGACCAAAGTCCCAGGCGAAAAGCTGGGGGGATTGTTACAATAAAGATGTCAAGAAATTATTCCATGACCAAGGATGGAGCACGTGCAAACCAGGATACTACATGGCGGGGTTATACAGGAGCTCATGTAACAAATTATTTTGCCTGGAAAAGTTTAAATGCTGCAAAATGGGAAATTACAGTGGAGATCCGTGGATGAATAAACCAGATTTTGTGATAAAAGTTAAAGATACTTCCGGACAGCTTAAACAGTGCTCAATGAATGCGATGGATAAATCTGCGGATAACAACACATACAAATGCAAAAGTATTTCCGATCGCTCCAACATGTTGGCGCTCAATGCTTTAAAATTCAACATCGAAGATAAATCGTCACTGAACGTCGCCAAACCTGAACCAGTCAAAGGTTTCCGTCCTGTCATATGCTCCGCTTATTCCAATTCATACAAGTGCACCAAATGGCTTACGACATCGATCACAACTTCATCCACCTTCAAGATTGGTTCAGGATTCTCTTTAGCGGTAAAAGTTGGGTTATCTACAGAAGTGAGTTCAGGACTACTTGGTGCAGGAGCGAAAAGCACCTTCACAACTGACGTCACGTCCACATCTTCTTTTAATGTCGAATCCAGTACGACGAAAACGTACACGACAACGGATAAGACGGATATTTCCGTTAAAGTACCGAAAGACACTGAAATCACCATCAACCTTCTGAGAACTGTCCAGGACTTGGAGTACAAATGGAAAGCAATCTTCGAGTTGTTGGGAAAATACTCTGCGAAATGGAGCAATGGTCGTGAAATCTTCCAAGATGTGACGACGGTGCTGTCTGGGTCGAAGAGAGAATTGTTCGCATTTGGCAGTTGGAGTTACCCAGGTACAGATGTCTTGAGAGTGGTGATCACTGACAAGTATGGAAACAAGAAATCTGAGGGATGTGAGCATGAGCCAGGAAAAGCAAAGAGCTGTAATATGTAAGGAGGACCCATACATGAAGTTTTTGCGAACTTTACAACATTTAGCAAAACTATTAATTGAGTTATTTCATTTACGCTGAGGCGGTTTTTTTTTCAAAACATTAGAACTAGAATTGGGAATAAATAGGGTGTCCTAAAAAACGCTAGATTAACAGATTATCCATAATTGCATGCATCTACTTAGTCTGACAGTATCATCGTTCAGTAATAAAAAAATCCTATGTCCCACTCAATGCATGTAAGTGGATTTTCTTGATGCAGGTGTATTAAGACTAGCGTTTTCTGGGAAAAACTGTAGCTGTAATTAGAATAGAATTAGAATAGGGAATCAGCCTGTTCATTTTTTTTAATAAATTGTCCTTAAAATCAGAAAACGTAGTGTTTTATCAATTCTTTGTTGACATATCTCGCCTGCTGCGCATGCCTGAACATTATGCGAAACTCTAAAATGACGACAGCTTCCCCATTACTCGAAATTTGTGCCGATGTTCACAGTGAGTGAAAGTCTAAATTGTTTCTAATTGCTTACTGGGTATATCTAAAAAGTAAGTTATAAATCGAAAATACCAGTTCGCAAAATTTGTAGGGTTTTTGACATGTTGTGCCGTAATTAGTCGTAATTCCTTGTTAGGTTTGCCGCCCACAAGAGCTATCTGCAGAGCTAAAAGTTATTCGTGGATATTAGCGTAAGCATGTTCTCCTAGTGTGCGGTGAGCTTTTGCGAGCTTTTCCCCTACGCATGAGGGCAGTGCAAATTTCTTCAGTAAAAGGCGCAAATATACCTATACTTCACACGAAAACTTATAAAAAATATCGTAAAAATGAGTGCATTTGGCTACAAATTTACGTTGCACTCATATTTTCTATATCACTGCAGTTATCATAATCTCAGTGACAGCGAGCTATCAAACAATAAGGACTATTATAATATATTCCTAAAAGTATGGGAGTATTATGAGGACTATATAGTATATTGATCCTAAAAGTAAAGCCTAAAGGAGCTCGTAGACCGGCGGTAGACTATCCCACACGCCCACTCACAGAAACGAATAAATTTGGTGCTCAACAAAGACCTTGTTTAACTACAAAGTAGGCTTCCGGTTTCGCTTCAACCAACGTCGTATTTCGACATCGTATTATGAGTATACGATATACAGAAGTGACACAAGCGAGTGTGCGAAGAAATTCTAACAAATAACTCCACGCTATGTGCTTAACATTACCGGTAAAAATTTGTGAACATATACACAATATTTTCGAAATACTATTTCATGATCATGCAGTGTACCACACATTTTTGTCAGGACATGTAACCAGCGAGTGGTTTTACAGCTTCTACAGTAACCAATCGCAAAATAAACCTGGGCAATAAATGGACGACTTGCGCTTTAGACTAGTTTTTGATCGAAGTAACAAGAAGAAAATAAATCACCCCATCTAGAAAGATCTTACTTAAATTAGTAAAACTGCCTAGTTTGGCTGCGAAATTTTGTAAAATACGGAAAATATAGCCATGCGAAGTTGCAAATTTTGTACACTTTTGTATTACGTGTGGAAATGTGTAACTAATTTAGTCACAAACTTCCGGTCGTAATACAAAAGTATACGAAAATCGACAACTTCGCATGGGTATATTTTCCGTATTTTACAACAATTCGCAGTCAAACTTGGCAGTTTAACTTATTTTAGTAAGCTCTTTCAAAAAATGTCCTTTTTATCACCGAGGTAAGAAATTAGTCTAAAGCGCAAGGCGTCCACTCAACATGAACACGTCTTTAGATTGCTGCGTATGCGCAAGCCGTCAACAGTTTGAGAATAACAATTTTTTATGCATTGTTTGATATTTCTAATATTTCATTATTACCTTGTCACTTTAATTCGACAAGAAATTCCAATCGGCTACCTTATTTGTTGGAAATGCTATTCCACTTCCAGAATCATGATAGAAATAAATATAATTATAATAATTATCATATAATTTGTTCTTTGAAAAGTATATCGCAAGTAATTATGGAAATTTGGAAATATTGGCATAGCCGGTAAGGAGAGGAGAAAACTGCTTCTATCGGATGATTTGTGGGCGGACGATTTGAACTTCCTGCGTGTTTGTTGATTTCATTCCTCACCTCGCCTATATAAGTTGATGATGTCATTTGCACTGCATCAACTTAATTAGTCTCTTCGGCAAAATGTGTTTCCTCGTATTCAATACATAAAAAGCCAATATCTTGCCCCTCATGCACCCGTTTTGTCACTTCAATTGAAAATATATAGGCCTTGATCCTAACCGATTATTGGTTAGATCCTTTTGTTTAGCGAGATCTCTTTATCGAAATGGTTCAGTGATTAGAATATATACAGGGTGTCCCAAAAAAAACGAAAACTATTGAAATCACTCATTGTTAAAATTTGAATGCCGTGTGCACGAATTTTAACCCGTGGGGATTTAATGCAACTCAGTGAAATGCTAGATGCTTTGTGTTGTTGGAGAAAGGGGACATGTCAAAGGTCATGGTGATTCAGATGCACATTTAAATATTGTTGATAAATATTATTTTCGCGTACGAGCAAATTTTACTGCATCATATGCATGCATAAAAATGCTTATGGCAAACATTTACACACTTGTGGGCCCAACAGAGTGCTGAGGCATTCAAACTCTAACAATCACATTGTTATGGGTGATTTCAATAGTTTTCGTTTTTTTTGGGACACCCTGTATAACCGCTAATGTCGTTTAAAGCTATGTGTTTATTTTGTGATGAGATGATGAGCGAGAGCTTTTTGTTTGTAAATTCTGTTATTGAATTGATTCAGCCAACGATTGAAAGTTGTGTGAAATTTAATGGAATTTTGCATAATAGACCAACTTTTGATTTAGGCAACAAAAAGAAAATCTTTGAAAAGTGCATACTAAATTTAGTACAATTACCAAGTTTGGCTGTAGAATATTGTACGGAAACTATAGCCATGCGAATTTGGCCATTTTTTTTACTACGGCCGGAAGTGTGTAGCTAAATTAGTAAAGCGCTAGCTCCCAGCCGTACTATACAGGGTGTCTCAAAAAAAACGAAAACTATTGAAATCACTCATTGTTAAATTTCAGCCCGTGGGGATTTAATGTAACTTATAATATGCTAAATACGAAAAATTCACATTGTGAATATGATTAAATATAAATTAGCCTAGCCTTGTTGTTGCTTCGAAAGAAAATGGTACAAGCTGACGGCGGAACAACGAGTGTTTATTGTGATAAATTATGCGCGTGTCCAAAGTACAACGGAAGTGCGAGACGCTTTTCGACAAAGAACAAATTGTAAATCTTGTTAATAAATATTTTTGCGTACAAACATCTATACACTTGTGGGTTCCAACAGAGTGCTCAGGCATTCAAACTCTAACAATTACATTGTTATGGGAGACTTCAATAGTTTTCTTTTTTTTGAGACACCCTGTATAGTAAAAAAAGTATACAAAATTGGCTACTTTAGTCTTTACATGGCTATATTTTCGGTAACACCTGACATTTTGCGACCAAACTTGGCAATTATACTAATTTCGGTATACTCTTTTTAGCTGTGATGATTTATTTCCTTGTGACCTAGATCGTATGTTGGTCTGTGTGCAAAATGTGCATTCGTTGTTTCACTTTATTATTCATGAACAATGGTTCAGTTGTGAACGTCCCTCATCAATATATTGATCAAACATGTTTGATATGCGAGAAAAGGTTGCAAGTGGCAGAAAACTCACAAAAATCTATCCGCGCACGGTGAGCTGTCGCCTGAGCTAACAGGCACGAGTAACCTCTAGCTCAGCTGATAGCTCTCGTGTGCTGCAGGCTTAAGTATCCGCCATCCCTATAGCTACTTAGGGAAATGAGAAGAAACCGAGGCGAACATGCTATTACTAAGTAAACCGACGTTTTATGCGTTTCACTACTGCCTATAAGCCGAATTCATGACTTGTAATTCTTAAAAATTGTAATCACATCAATAATTTAGCGTATCTACTTTTAATATTTAAGCGTAACTGCTATTATACGTATTAACCGTTCACCATACCATTTACCAGCAAGGGGGTTCCTGCTTCTACAAATCTGCATCAATATCAGGATTAATTTCCTTGGCACAACTATAGAATACCCCGCAATGTTAAGTATCAAGAACGCTGCCTACGAGCCTACGAGCCTACGCGTCTACATCAGGGTTGGTAGATAGCTGCATATTTGAGGCCAAACAACATCACACTAGTTCTTTGTTTCCTTTGTCTTTGCCTTTTGTTTTTTTTTTGTTTTCTTCATAGCACTAATGACAATTTGGCCTCAAATATTTGCATATCTACCAACTTTTGTCTACATGCATGCTTTGTTCAGTTTACAATAACACCTGGGGCCGGTTGTATGAAAGCCGGATAGCGTCTATCCACCGGATAGTGATTTTTTCAATCGCGTTAAAATCGCCCGTTGTTTGCAATAACTTTGATTAAATCTTAGTATTTCTAAATGGATGATGCTCTTTAATAATTGTTGTTTCCAAAGCTGAATTTTATTGCTTTTCTAACATTTTTAGAAGGGTTGAAATATCACTATCCGGTGGATACCGCTATTCGGCTTTCATATAACCGGCCCTTGTAAAATAGCTTTGTTATTTGTTTGATCACTGCTATTTTTTAGTTTATTTTCTTTTAAAATGAGATATAGGTCATCTCATTACCACACATCTAACTAATTAGGGTTAGGGTTAGGGTTAGGGTTAGGGTTAGGGTTAGGGTTAGGGTTAGGGTTAGGATAATAAGACATAAATAAAATGGACTTTGATGAAGTTTTATGTTTTTAGCCGGTATAGGCGAGTAGGCGAGTAGGCCAGTAGATGAGTAGGCGAGTAGGCGAGTAGGCGAATAGGCGAGTAGGCGAGTAGGCCAGTAGGCGAGTGGCGAGTAGGCGAGTAGGCGAGTAGGCCAGTAGGCGAGTAGGGCGAGTAGGCCAGTAGGCGAGTAGGCCAGTAGGCGAGTAGGCCAGTAGGCGAGTAGGCCAGTAGGCGAGTAGGCCAATAAGCGAGAAGCTAAGTGTGTAGGGCTGTGGCGCATAAGCTAAAATTTATGTATAGAAGGGGCGTAGGCTGTAGGCTCGTTAGATCAAAGCCATTGCTTCGATGGCGGGGTATTCTATAGTTATTCCATTTCCTTTTCAGACTTTATTGTATTTGGCAAACACGAACATGCATGTGTACATCTGCTCCCATGCAGGAGAATGGAGCGAGTTGGGTTATAATTGGACAAATATTTGTTATAATTGTTTATAATTCAACAAATTTTCGAATATACCATTTCATGATTGAA